TACTTTAGAATGATTGAAGAGAAATACACTTTACATATGCGTAAACTTTAAATTTAAATTTATAAGCTAACAATGGATAGCGCGAAAATATATTTATTTATTTGTATTTCTTCCACAGAGTAAGAGCCAGTATGGTTTTTTGCATAACGATTTTAATATCCATATAATTGCATAGGATTGGTAAACCCCGGAAAGTCTATCAAGATTTTTCGTAAATCTCTACTATGGAAAAAATTCAAAGCTTTGCTTTTTTAGCAACAAAGTTGAACTTTGGACATGCCAAGATAACAGACACCACTACCAGTGATATCAGCACATACACACAAAATACTATCTCCCAAGGTATGTAAGTACTATAATTAGAAAATATAAGTATTTGGGAATACTGGAGACAGAGAAAACAATAAAGTTCATAGATTAAGTTTCTTCATCGTCTAGCTATAAGATGCCTATGTGCTTATTGCTTATTTAAGGATAAGTACGTGAAAAAAATCGTCATATGAAATTTCTTACTGATAAACTTATTACTACAAACTAAATCATTGCAATAAATTATAATTAAGTATACCTACTTAATTTGTATATGTAAAAATAGATGTGTGTTTCTATGTTTCCTATGGGCTCCAAAAGGCCGGAGCGATTTTGATGAAATTTTGAAACGTGGGTAAAACCCCGGGTAGTAGTATCCTACCGATCGATTCCGGCCAGGGCGGCGGCCAATCTCATTGAGACTAGCCAACTGCGCAGGAGATATTATAGTGCGCAAGTGTACGCGCAGACACAACGTGCACTCTTTATTTCTGTCACTCTCTTATTCCGGTGGGACAACTGCTCGACACGACCAGTGAGAGTTAAGACGTAGAACCGATACCTTAACGTGCTCTAAGAGGCACGGGGGACTAGCTACTATCTTCCCAACTCCGACCTGTTACTGAAGATTTCTTGACAGAAATACTCAACGATTAAACTTGACTCACGCTATACATGCTAGCCACTAGACCTATAAATGAAGAGTTGCCAAATGCGAGAACGTCACACAGTTTAAAATAGTTCAATTGTAGAAAATAGAAATGGCCGAAAAGTAGCTAAAGTTCTCTTGAAACTCCTATTGCTATTCTAAATCTAACCAAGACATTTTATTTAAAAAACAATATAATAATTTCTAGGAAAGAATACATATGTCCAAACCATTAAGTTAAGTACTTAAAAAGACAAACATAAGTTATAGATAGAGTCGATGAAAACTTACAAAAAGGGTAAAAACAACCACAAATAAACATCACAATTCAATTTCAAAAACTAAATCCGAAAGCTTTCGCGAAATCGCTTACGAATAATCGCTCTCCAATTAACAGTGCTTATTTCCTTAATTTTGAGCGATTGCCCGTTTAAAAACGTTTAATTCCAATACACAAATGCATACATAAATTTATACTTTATGTGCACAGTCGTAAGGTGCGAATTCCATTAACTTGCATCTCATAAGACATACTGATTTCCAAGTCAATTACTGTCAAAGTATTTTAAACCGTATTCGAAAGTGTTAAAGTGTGTAATGTAATGCAGTAATTGATGAGTAGAGTTAAATGGGAAATTGTGAGCTAACTCGGCGACGTCGGAATAAAACAACTCTTTGCGCTAATAATGAGAAAGTATGCACAGAGTAGTGAGAGACAGAGGGACGGGACCACAAAATAATATAAACGTTAATAAAATATGTTTTTCTCTACATTATATAGTAAGTAATTATATTATTTTGTACGAACTATAATAAAAAAAATTTAAAGTATTTATTAATATTCTCTATATACATATAACAGACGAGAAATGGTGGAAGTGATTGTTTATTCTTTTTCTAATTCTAATAGCTTTAATTATGTTTTAAATCAAACATTAGTTGTGTTTTACAATATTTTAATTTTGATTTAGATTTCTTATCGGATGCATAAATCATGTAAGGAATACGCCCTCCAAATTTCACGTTTCTACGACCAGTGGTTTGGGCTGTGTGTTGATCCATCACTCAGTCAGGACCACCGCAGGATGCACCTCTCCTTCTCATTTCTTCCTTCAGCTGGTCTAACTACAAAACTGGTACAATACATGCCACAGGTAAGATACGAACACAATAAAAGCAAAAAACTAGGGATAAAAGAGATATCACAATAAATTGCTTAACCTTAGACTGAGTATAGGCCATGCGTGTGGCGACTCCTTTCGAGAAATCTTCCCCATTGTGCTTGTCAGGTGTCATTGAAATTCAGATTTTTGGAGATTGTAGATTGTTTGCCGTTGTAACCATTGTTATTGTCCGACAAATATTATATAATATTATATTCTTTCCGTATATGATATTCTATAAATATTACGATTGTAATATGCCTAATATGTCTTATTTAATATTACTTGAGATAGAATACATCACACAGGAAGTGAAAAATAATAAAATTAATTACTGAATAATATGTTATGTCAAATAAAATGTAAAATAACTTTTAAACTTGGTAAAAATATTATAAAAAAAATTATCCTACTCCTGATACTGTATATTCATCTCATTCTCTCGTAGGTAATTTTCTGAAATTTCACTTCTACCGTGTGTGAATTGCACACACTGACACTTTTTTAAATTTATAAATAACTATAAAATAATGACAGCCAACCAGCATTTGGCTAGCGTGGTGGACTATAACCTGATCCCTGACATTGAAGGGAAACCCGTGCCCAGCAGTGTGATGTAAAAAAGGGCTCACTGCTAAAGTCTTGAGTGTCTGACGCCACAGTGCTCTGTACAGTAGTGAGCAGAATCAAACGGCAACGTTAACTAAGCGCTTATTGAGGATGCGCCGCACACTTGCAGGCACCTTGGCGACACTCTTACGAGCTACGCTCACATTTAACTACCGTTTTTTGTTATGTAAATATTAATTCAAAGTTAAAATTTAAGCTACTTTTCATTTTAAATAAAACTATCTTTTCGGATTTTTTCGCGAAAATATTTTGATTTTTGGTTTCCGACGTTTCGAATGCTTTACAGCATCCATGGTCACGGGAGAGACTGAGGTGTTACATGTCTTGAAGATATAGTTGTTACAGATAGCCTACCTACAATTAACAAAATGAAATCAAGCATGAAGCACCAATTATATTACAATATTTTTTTTTTTTAACATGTAACAACCAAACATCAAAATAAATTCGCGAAAAAATCCGAAAAGATAGTTTTATTTAAAATGTCAAGAATTCGCGTAAATCTAAGAAAGTATTAAGCTACTTTTATTTAATATTTATAATATATACCTATAGTATATTTTTTTTAACCTGTCGCAATATTTTTAAAGTATTAGCGAATGCTGTCTGTCCTGGCTCTATTATGTCCCACATTTCGTTCAAATTCGTCTAGTGGCAGAAATTACAAAAAAATTTTCATTCAAAATAAAAATTATCTTCTAAAATTCTCTACTGAACGTTAAAACAATTTTTCAACAATTGACCAAGAATGCCTAATTTTGCTAAGATATAAAGACCTTAGTATTAGTACTCAGTATTTAGTATAGCTGTTCTTTTTTCTATTTTGATTAATATATAATTTTACTTGCACACGGTCACACTCTTTATATAACTCGAGGTAATAATCTATTTGTGTTGTAAATTTTATCAAAATCCATCCATTCAACAAAAACACATATACACATACAAACTTTCGCATTTATAATAATCATACCTGAATTATAGAAGATGTGTGATTGATTTTTTGATTGATGATTGATATGTGATTTTGATGATTGATGTGTGATTTATTTTTTTCTAAAAATTTCAGTATGTTTTTGTATGCATTATTTGATATTTCATGCAGTGAGGTTTTTAAAAAAAACTCATTTAAATTATTTGTGATAGTATTTTATCATTGGAAAAGTTAAAATTTACACTTGGATTCGGCTTTTTTACAGAAAGTTCGGAAAAAATTATAAACACCGAGAGTAGATAACGGAGAAAACAAATCTCGGTGTAAAAATAATTACCTGGTTTTCTCATAAATTTTTGTTATTTTACTAGCGATTAACCCTCGCTCCGCTCGGGTTCGTCCCTGCTTACGTTTTAACGTTTAGTATAGATTTCTCAAAGTTGAGGTATTTTCTTGAAGTAAAAAGCATCCTATATGTTGACCCGGATAACCAGCGATCATCATACTAAATTTCATCAAAATCCAGTGGTATTTTCGTGATGCGGTAACAGACAGACAGACAAAATTTTTAAAAACTATAGATTCGGCTCTGTCCCGATAATAATGTCTATTTTAATAAGATTTTCCAAAAAATATTTAATGTATTGATTCGGCTTTCTAACAATTTTATTATATATTTTTTAGTTCTATAAATTAAATTATAATTTTCGTGACAGCTAATTTTTGACTCTATGAATAAATCCTCTATGAATTACATATTTTCATTTATTTACATTTTTATACTTTTTTGAAAGTTGAACTTAAATCGATTTTCTTGCTCAGTTATATGTATGTAATCTTCAGATTTTGAGATATGGAATGTTTTTTGAATATGTAAAACTTAATTTAATGACTTATTCTATTATTTAACCGACCTAACTTTATCAATGTCAAATCATTATTAAAATATTACTTTAATAGATTTACAATACAAATATTTAGATTATAATTTACATGAAAAAAATATCATTAATATTTAAAATCTTAAAATTAATGTGTTACATAATATTTAAATACAAATTTTAAAACTATGTATGCTACTCAGGTTGAATTACATATAATGCTAGATACATAGTAAATTTTAAATTAGCGCCATCTGTCGTTAAGTAGTCAACTAGGTAAAAATTAACTAAGCTTTTTTTATATATTTAAATTATACTAAATAAAAAATGAGTTTTGAATACTTGCTTTTCATAATGAAAGCATATTTTTTGTTGATTTTATAATAAAATATTATTTACTTTAATACAGTTATTTGCGATACCAACGCCATCTATCCCTCAGTAGCAACCCGCCTCGTTTGTTTCAGTTTTTGTTCAAGTCTTATAATATCCGCTAGATGTCCAACTGCGGGTTCCATATCTTCCAATTTTATTTTGCTAAAGGCGAGTCGTATATATTGGCAGGGGGCGCGAGTGTCGTAGAGGAAAGCATGTCCCGGGATCAGCATGAGGCCGCGTTGCAACGCTGTGTGGAAAACCTAAAAACCAAATAATGTTTAATTTAAAAACATTATTCATAATGCAAAACTAAAATATAAGACAATTGCAGTCAGATTTAAGAATAGAAAAAGGTTTTTATAAACTTATGCTATGTTTTAAATAAAACTATTTATTCGGAAGTTTTCGCAGATTTATTTATTTAGATTTTTGGTTCTTGACGTTTTGAATGCTTTTATGCAACCATGGTCACAGGAGAGACTTCTCCGTAGAAAAAACCCGAAAAGATAGTACCTATTTAAAATGCCAAATATTCGCGTAAATCTAAGAAAGTAGGTATTATGCATTATCTTTATTTCACAATAATTTATGATAAATGTGAACGTTTATCAATATGTACGGACACTTCTAATTCGATCACGCGCAGTGGTCTACAGGACACATTTTATACCTAATTAATAACAACATTGTCATTGACATCACATTGTTTATTAATCACTAGCATTGCCCACGGCTCCGCCCGCGTTCAGATGACCAAAAACCAAATTCTTAGGTTTTACATATTAGTTCATATACTCTTACTTTGCAGTTTTTGCCGCGGTAAAAAGTATCCTATATGTTGACCCGGATAACCAGCTATCACCATACCAAGTTTCATCAAAATCCCTTGAGTGGTTTATCCATGATGCGGTAACAGATAGACAGACAGACAAAAATTCTAAAAACTATAGATTTAGCTTCTGTATCGATAATAATGACTATTTCAATAAGATTTTTCAAAAAATATTGAATGTACAGATTCAACTTAGAATTTTATTATATGTATAGATGTAATTGTATTTGAAAAGTATAGATTAAGACAAACCCGTGGCATACTGTAGACTATAAGTCATTGAACAGATTTGAATACGTAAAAAATGTTTATATGGTAATTGCTAAATAATATTTATTTAAAAACGTTGCAATATTACTTCAAGTCACTATAGTTCTAACCTTACCAATAGATGGCGCTGCCAAACAACTAGAGCATGTCGGCGGGATGGCATGTTCAGAAACTTTTATTTTACATAATATTATTCTTTAATTATTATCAGAAGTTATTATTAATCAAAATGAAATGTGAAAATTCATGACTATTATAATATCAATTGTAAGTGGATCGAGCTAAAAACAGACATATTGTAACTCTTCAAGACATACAATAATAAAAAAAATTTGCGTTAATAACATTACTCAAGATAAAATTTAGGAACATTTAATATCTTTAAATTCTTACAAGTAAATTAATCCCTACTAGAATTTTAATTCAAATCAGGTGTTTAGATAAAACGTGCATCGCGCGATTTTTATTATATGGAGATAAATAGTACCTACGTATTACCTTCCCTACACAGTCGTAGTACTAATCCCTATAAATTATCTGCATATTGTTATTCAACAAGTGTTTTTGAAATCGTAATCTATCTAAAAAAGTAATGTATTTGAGGATAAATTTGAAATCATCTATCAACCTTACCTATTGTAGAATAATCCACAACTCTGTCTATTTATAAAATTATAATTAAACGCACAACAACTACTTGAAAAATTAGTTAAAATTTTAATATTGAACATTTTTGAGAGGAAATCGGTGATTTATTTTTTTTACTTTAATTTAAACATACTTATGAGAAATGCAATAAGTTATTAAAAAAGGGTCACTGACCATCCAAGGATATGAGAATATAATACAGTAAGTATAAGAAAAACACTAGATTGTAAGCAAATTTTCGGAATTTGTCAAGACTCAGGCTCTCTCGTAACCATGTTTACAGTAAAACATTTGAAAAATAAATCTGCAAAAAAGTCCGAAAAGATAGTTTTATTTTAAACGACTGTCTCGATTAGTAGACTGTGGGATAATAATAATGTCTGACCGGTCCTGACCGATTTCGGCCACGGCGAGTAATCTCACTGAGTCTAGCCAGATGCGCAGGAGATATTATAGTGCAGCGCGTGTACGCGCAGACACAACGTGCACTCTCTGTTCCTGTCACTCTCAAAGTCCGATGGGACGATACTTTGACACGAACAGTGAGAGTTAAGGCGCAGGACCGACGGCTTTACGTGCTCTTCGAGGGACTAGGGTGCCACACCGCCAACTTCCCAACTCCAAGCTATTACTGAGAATTCCTTGAAAGAAATAATAACTGATCTTGGCCCGACCCAGGACCTCCGGATTTGCAGCCCTACATGCTAACCACTAGATTATGGAAAGACTGTGGGATAATAGTTTTCCTACCATGTTGTAGACATCCTCGACGCCTCGCACGTGCAGCCAGTGGAACAAGCCGGCGCTCGGCTCGACCCACTCAGCCAGACCTTCTACGCCGCGTAGCGCTGCACTCAGCGCGCTACGTCGTAGCTCGTAGAAGGAGCGTGTAGAATGCAAGTGTGACGCCAGGGCGTTACGGTTGGACAGTAGACGGAACAGTATTGCCTAGAAAAGGAAATAATATTCAAAAATATGTACTGGTTTTTGTACGGATAAAAGCTATTATGAATTTCATTTAAATATATTGTATACCAAAAGGCATCAAAGCGTGAAGAAGTACCACATTTATCATACACACCCACACTCAGTCGCATATTTTCGTATCAGTATAATATAGAAAAATTTACATCTATAAGTGTTTTACGTGTAAAGTAAGCGTATGATGGTAAGTCGCTAGTTTAATATAAATTGGTTACATCCAAATTCTAAACAGACTAGGTATTAGGACATATCTGTACAGATAAATAAAATTGAAGTGTCTGTTTGTAATGTTAAAATAACAGCGTTTTATTAAATGCATATGAAATTATATACGGTACTTATAAGAAAAACACATTTTTTAAAATTTTTGTCTGTCCGTCTGTCTGTTTGTTTCGGATAATCTCTGATACGGCTGGACTGATTTTGACGCTAGTTGTACAATAACGAAATTATGTTATAAAGATAATGTTAAATTTAAATAAAATTGTAAAGTAATATAAATAAGCACTCATGTTATTTTATTATTAGTAACGTCCCTGGGACGCATTTTTTTTCAGCAGAACCCTAATTATTTTTTAAAATAAAAATTGTTAAATGTTTATAATGAGATATATGTAAATATGGACTTATATCTGAATGAAAATAAATAAATAAAAAAAAATTGCCAGCCATTTTCTAGTGAAATCTGTTAAAATCAGTCCAGCTTTTTCGGAGATAAGCGAAACAAACAGACAGAGAAACAAACAGATAGACAAAAAAAAAGTTAGTAAAAGTAGCATTTTTCTTATAATTATAGTATATTTCCTCGACGACCGCGGACGCGCCGGCGTTACAGTTAACAATAGATTTCTTCGAAATTGAATTAATTTCTTAGAAAACCTGGAGGTGTTATAATTTCATATGCATTCAGTAAAAAACTTTTATTTCGACATTACAAAGAGACACTTGAATTTTATAGTATTAAGTATAATATATTAGTATATGTAAATATTATGATATTCCATATGCCTCAAATAGCCAGTAACTTAATAAATACATAGATACAAATATACATATAGTACATAATTTATTTAACGTATATTATTATTTGTTTTTATAATAACATCAATTTTGAGGAATTTCGACCACGAGTTTGTGTTGAGTAGAAACTTTGGAAGTTTGATTAATTTATTATTTACTAGCAGAACCCGCGGGTCCGTTCGCGCTAAAACTATGATAAAATCTCCAAAAAGGTAGTTTCATAGAAACTTTCATCTTCTATTTTACCCCCTTATAGGATGAATTTTGAAAAATGCTAAGTCACGTATTTATTTAATTTTATTGAAGAGTATATGTATATACCAATCTTCAAGTAATTCTGATAATAAATATTTTTTGGATTGTACTATAACGTGTTTTCCAGCGGGAATTAACTCGCGCTAAAAAGTAGCCTATGTCACTCTCCAGCCCTCCAACTATCTCCACACAAAAAATCAAGCCAGTCCGTCACTCTGTTTCGATGTGAAGGAGGACAAACAAACAAACACACTTTCACATTTATAATATCAGTATGGATTTACGAAGTATACTGCTTGGCAAAATGTGTTTACACACGCACTGATATGAAAATAACGGCTTATGTTTTATGTATACTATTCTTAGTCAAACAATTGTTTTTTTTTGTTTGGTAAAAGTGGTTAAAAAATATTCTATATAAATATCTAATAAGTAATAAGTTTATTGTTAAAGAAAACTCTACACACTGTCAAAACTAGCTACGCTTTGATACTCGTAGTGGGTAGTTAAATTAAATACCGGAAGTAATTTAAAGAAGTCTTTAGATTACTTCTTACATTTATTTATACTGACACTCAGACTAAAGGATTATAGAGATGGAGTCCATAAAAAAAAAGAGAAACACATCAGCATATTTGCTGTTTATGCTACCTATTACCACGGTAATGTAATATGTAATATTACCGTGCCCACCCGCCTCGTAAGTACGAGTAAATGTTTCTTTTAGTTTTCAAAGATAATAATAATAATGCACATATATTTAGGTTTCTTATAAATTAAATATTAAGGTTAAATAAAAAAAACAAATGTTAAAAAGTATATACTTTCGTTTTATTAATTAACGAGAATAAAAAACCGGTAAAGTGTATAAAATCCAAAAAAAAAATAGCTAAAACCATCTACAGATGATCCCGCGTACATTGGCCAAAGTACCATACCGATACATTATGGCGTGACAAGGAAAAATTTATATCTACGAGTATTATTACCAATATCTAGACGGTATTAAAGAGATTCTTCAGAGAATAATCTTCTGTCTATACTAATCGTTATTTAAAATTCTTAAAAATGATCTACGAAATACGAGTAATAATAATTGCAAAAAACGTATACTTTTTGTATTTTCAGAACTTATTAGTTACCTATATTCCTTTTGAGAGTGATAATATTACATTAGTTTTTTTTATTACGATAAAAAAATCACCCACATTTTTTTTATAACTAACTAGAAGATCCGTTCAGCTGTTCTGGCGTGATTGACAAACACATCCAAACTTTCGCATATAGAATATTAATTATAAAAAGGCATTATAAGACAATAAATAATAAATTCAACGATTATTTTAAATAAAACTATCTTCCCGGATTATTTCGCGGCTTTCTTTTAATTTTTGGTTCCTGGCGTTTCGAATGTATAGCAATATAACATAACATCTCAAAGGCGTTATATACTTGTTACAGACAGTGCCTACCTATTATTTTACGAAATTTTGTAAAATTTCTTAATTTTTTTTAAATTGTTCAATGATCCGAAAAGATATTTTTATTTAATTAAAATGTCAAATATTCGCGTAAATCTAAGAAAGTATTATTCAACGATTACATATTTTTTTCTTCATTAAAAATAATATTTTTTCAAGGAGGAAAGGAGTGCTAACATTTTTATTTGACTTCATGTTCAGTTCTATGAAACTCCGTTTACAATATTCTATCAGTCTTTTTACTATCAGTACTGATAGAAAAAAATAAAAGAAAAGTTCAATTCTCACACATAAATCAAATTTATAAACGACAATATCCAATCAATAGAGAATTCATTAAGGTTACAAAAACCGCTAAACTAAAAGCAACAAAAGTCGAGTGACCTTGACGTCGTGATAAGAGATTAGAGACAAGTTTGGGCCAGAGACCACATTATCTACTGTGATTACGTATCAGCAGTAATTATTGCCTAAAAAAATTACAAAACTGACACGTAAGGTGATATAATATATATTAGATACGGATGTCATTTGGGTTCATATAAGTTTGAATACTAAGTATACAATCACAAAGTTATAACTTGTTAAGTAATTATATTGTTATATTATAATAATAATATTCTTTAACAAATTAAAAAAAATATAACGCATAAAAAATAATATTATTTAATAAGCGAAGAGTCAATTAACAGGTCATAGACATTGTCGTTATCTTTATATATATAATTCTTCTGTGAGTGTGTATGTCACTGAACTTCTCTCAAACGACTGGACCGATTTTGATGAAATTTTTTGTGTGTGTTCAAGGGGATCTGGGAATGGTTTAGATTTACAATTTGAATAATAATTTTCATAAAAAAAAATATTAAAAAAAGTTTGAAAATTTCAAATTAAAGACGTGTAGACAGGACAACGTCTGTCGGGTCCGCTAGTATCTTTATAAATGCGTCATATTATTAGTTCATGTTAGTACGAGTAGAAGTAAAGAATTACGATGAGCAATATTATAAGCATTGGTATACTGTAGCTACATCCTTGTTTTTTTTTTGTGTTGTCATAATGTTAACAACGCAACTACATCAAATCAAGGAGTGATTATGTCCAATGGTAATAAATCTACATTTTTGGATTATTTTCGAGCTCTTTTTAGTAGTTAGGAATTTTCTTTCTGAACTGATGGAGTTTTTGTTAAAATGGTTCTCATTCAGCCCTTTTCAATATCCTACGGTTAAGCATGAGCCTCCCTTATGTTGTGAAACAAGATAGGGAACAGGCCTTAGTCTACCACGCTGGACAAGGGCGGACCGACTAAGCATGTCTTTTGAAAACTTGCCAGATTCTCTCAGACATGCAGGTTTCCTCACGATGTTTTCCTTCATCATAATGCTATTGGTAATCATGTTGAAAAGACTTGTACCTGTTTCGCTTAGTTTTCCAAGCGACCGCATTACCACTGGGCTACCTGCCTTATTACTTCACACTATCTATTTTTATGTTGGAAATCTTACCGACTAGAAAAGCCATTTTTACCCACTAAAACCCAACAGAACCTCCTCCGCATTAAAGGGATCGCAGAATCGCTCACGCACTTATATACTTATAACCACGACGCCCCGACGGCAGGTCTGCTGAAGCAGACCACACAACCAAGGGGTTGCTTTCACGCTCCACTATGCTGTCAGAGAAGTCCTAGGAGCAACCCGCATGGTACACCACCCACCGCAGTGGGTGATGTGCCACCGCTGTGGGTGGTGGGTGTGTGATGTGACCCATTGCGGAATGTTAATAAGCCCCCCACCATGAGAACTATCTCACTCACCTGACCCAAGCTGTTAGAGTGCAAAAGCTCTGCCTGAGCATGCAGTTCTGCACGATGAAGAAGTGCAGATGGTGCAGTCATCCATGCGGCGCGGAGCCCGGCGCTGATCACTTTGGAGAACGAGTCCAGACGTATGACTCGCCCACAGACGTCCATCGATATGAACGATGGGGGAACATTCTGGTAACAAGATTATTTATATTTAAAATGATTATGTATATTAAATAAAACTAATTTTTCGGATTTTTCTGCGGATTTATATTAATGTTTAGTTCCCGATGTTTCAAATGCTTCACTGCAATCATGGTCACGGGAGATACTAAGGTATTAGATTAGACTTCTTAAAGGTCATTTTATAGCTATTACAGACAGTGTCATTGTGTCAAAATGATTTCAAAAATACAAAAATTGCACTAAAGTAATAGTAAGAAAAATATTTCAATATTTGCTAATTTGATTATTATGATTTATCTATTGTTTATGAGTATTATGTAAGGAAATGGAATAAAAAATTAAAGAATTTATAAAACTTTTATCTACAGTATCAGAAACAAATTTCCATCAAAATGTAATCATGGAATCCAGTATAAAGGCAATATAAAGGCCAATCGTGCCAATTTACATCAAAATTGACTGAATAAATTCTCCGTGCTCATTATTTTGAGTTACCATCTATACCATAGTAAGATAGAATCGTAATGCAAGCGATATTTGCGCAAAACCGCAACTACATCAGCGTATTGATTTGGCCATGAAAATACAGGAAGACAGATAATCCTAAACATCTACGTAATTATAACATTTGTAAGGATTAGATTGAATTATCATTACGTTTTCCGCGTTGTTATCAATAACAACGGGGTCATGTTTAATTGATTTTCAAAAAATATAATTACGTTTAAATATAAAAATACTATCTGCTAATACTTAAAAACGCCATATTAATGAAGTAGAAAAATATTACTATTACTTTGCATATTAATTGATAAGAACTCACCCCATCATAATTCAGGAACATATAAGGATCGTCTTCTACAATTATGAAGTCGTATTTGCAAGCCAATTCATATATAATCCTTCTCCTGTCTTCAGGGATCACAGTCCCCGTGGGGTTATTTCCAGTGGGGATGAGGTACATCATTTTAGGCATCTTCAAGCCGCAAGCTAACCTATTATTTAATATAGATTCCAGTGTCTCAGGAACCAAACCGTGTTCGTCTTCTGGTATACCGATAATTTCTGGATTGTAGGGACGCAGCTGGAAGAAAACTTTTAGCTTAGCGAATGAATGTAATAGTCTTTAATTTCAGAATCAAGATAAATGGTCCTATAATCTATAAACGACTTTTCAGTGTCAGAATTCTGAACATTTAATGAGATCCTCAAGTAAATCGACTGATATATAAATTGTGAATTAAATATTTTTTTCTCTAGACCGATTTCGTCCACGGTGGCCAATCATACTGAGACAAGCCAACTGCGCAGAAGATATTATAGTGCAGTAACAATTGCACTCACTTTTCCTTTTACTCTCTAAGTCCAATGGAACGATACTTTGACACGACCAGTTTAAATTAAGTCGCAGGACCGACGGCTTTACGTGCTCTACGAGGTACGGGGGTGCAACAACGTCAACTTCCCAACTCCGGGCTACTACTGAGAATATCTTAATAGAAAAACTCAGTAATTAAACTTAGTCGACCTGGGATTCGAACATAAGGCCCCCGGATCTGTAGCCGTACATGCTAGCCAGTAGACCACCGAGGCAGTTCAACTCTCTTTTGCATTTCAGTTGCACCATGGTGTTCATCGAGGCAGTTCAGTTTGACTCTTACTTAAACATTTATCAATACTCTTACAGTACTCACAGAGCTGTAGAACCCAGTATACGAATACTCGGTAGTAATGACGGGGTCACCATCGTTGACCAGCAACTCCACACATTGGTAAATGCCATGTTGCGAGCCGTTGGTCACGATCACGTCGCGGGACCCTGGAATGGGCGGCGGCCGATGTAGTTCTTGTTGGAACTGGCGTATCTCAGTGAGAAGTGAAGGAAGACTATAAGATAAAAGATAATGCTATAAATACAACATGACGTATACAAAGATTTTAATTATATGTTCAGCAGTTACCAAGAAACAACAAATTTGAGCTTAGTAGACAGACACACGAACATGCGTTTAATTCGTGGTTCATTTGGTATACATTTACATTGGATTAATCTATTGTTATCGTTTCAGTAGTTTAGACTAGTATCCTAATATCCGACGAAGATTATTGAAAAATGATTATTATAATTGATGATCCTCACTTGATAAAATCATAACTTTCAAGACTGAAAGCGAAGAGGCTATAGCTAAAAGAGAAACGGTTTCTTTATAAAGTTATATTAGTTCAATTAGAAAAATGAACCTATCCAAAGTCATTGACAAAGAAATTTATTAAGATATGTTCAAAGTGTAAAAGTGTATAAAAGTGTTTTCTAGGATTCTAAAACTTAGGTAAAAAAATGCAAATCATGTTTATACGTGAGGGGATTTACATATACTCGTAGGTACATATCTTGACCTTGTATATAAATCATATACACGATACAGTTCTAATCAGTTAGAGGAATAAATTAAAAAAATTCTACTTTATCAGTAGAAAACAATTGGTATAGTTTGTAATTAAATAAGATATAAATGCAAGGGCTTGTTTTAGTTGTTATTCAAAACTAAATATATATACATACTCGTAGGTTATACGTGGACTAAAATAGTAGTAAATATTATTTAAAAAACTTACCCTTGTGAAGGTATGTATTGTAGAGCGGATGCGAGGTCTTTCTCGTCTAAGACCAAGCTGCCTCCACTCCGGGTAGTGAGCTCTAGCCGTGTGAACGGGAATATGGCCTCGTTAGGCATTCCCTCTGCTAGAGAAAACATCTCTTTTCCGACTTTGTAGCCCATGGATGCTGTGGAGGGGAACATTGATAAATAATTATGTATATTGTTCATACCAATTCACATATACTTCTATACTTTCTCTTTAAAAAAAAGTAGGTGCTGTACGCTTATTATTCTTTAGATTTGAACTACGTATGATAATTATTTTTTATCTAGTCTTTATCTTCGACTACATTTAAATTAAAAAAAATCCAAAACAATAAAAAAAGTAAATAAGTCTTTTTGAATGTAGTTTTTATAATTTGCATAAATTATTTTTAATTAAAATGATAAGCCTTTAAAAAAACATGATACTAAATATTCCTACTTCTGAAAAAATATTACAATTCTCGTATTACAAAACCTACCGTTCTAAAGTATGTTGTAAATATCAATTTATATTCAAAATTCAAAGCAATAAAATTAGTCAAAACAACAAGAATCATTCTTTTCGCAGATGTTTTCCAAACAAGTCTCAGAAAGATATATTTTGCTTAGATTAATTATTTTGATTAGTTTACAAAGGGCAGTGTGCCGTGTACCTATACACTTTGTTACACGACAACATATGACAGTGGTAGCCCAGTGGCAACGCGCTCGCTTGGAAAACTGAGTGCTCTCTCACCTCTGATATTTTCATGTGCGAATCATTTCCAACATGATTACCACTTGTCTTACGGTGAAGTAAAACATCATGACGAAACCTGCTTGTCTTAGAGAACCTAGCAAATTTTTGGAAGACATATGAAGCCCGCCAACCCGCACTCGACCAGCGTGATGATCTATGGCCTGATCCCTCTCGTTTTGAAGGGAGGCCCGCGCCCAGCAGTGAGACGTTAAAAACGGGTAGAATACATTAATATATCGTATAAAGTTGGAGAGTCTTATATGTCCTTCCCAGGGTTTCAAACTATCTTCTTACCAAATTTATAAATCGGTTCAGTAGATCCAGAGATTACCTCCCACAACGTCACAACCTCACAAACTTTACCTCTTTATAATATTAGTATAGATTACATGTGTTATACACAAGATCTGTGTTTGAAATTTCATCCAAATTTTCGCGGATTGATTCTGATTTTTGGTTGCCGAGGTTTTAAATACTTTACAGCAATCATGAATAACCATGAATAGAATGAATGTTTTGGAAGTGTAAGTAGTTTATCTAATGTTTGATTTATCATTAATCAGTTACATATGTACAATTCCCATAAAAATCCATGCTAACATTTTGCGATCGATCCTATATCGATAGTGATCTCCACGACCATGCGTCGTCCCTCTCTGGAGCCGTGTCACTAGCACTACAGCGCTTGAACTAGTTCACCAGGTACTAGGTCATTCAACTAAATTGATTAGTAACTAGGGTCTGACTTTTTCTTCAAAAGATAATTATATATAATCTATAGAGATCATCTATACTAATATTATAAAGAGGTAAAGTTTATGAATTGTGAGTGTGTTCGTTTGTGACGTTGTGGGAGGTAATCTCTGGATCTACTGAACCGATTTAAATGAAATTTGGTAAGGAGATAGTTTGAGACCTTGAGAAGGACATAGAATACTTTTTATCCCGGAAATCAACCCTTAAGAGGGTGAAAATGGGGATGAAAGTTTGTATGGGGAATCAATCTAGGGACGAACCCGAGCGAAGCGAGGGTGAATCGCTAGTATATAGATATTACAGATATGGTAAATAAATATAGAAAAAAAAAGATGAAAATTGCATATTTTTGTTTCAGAAAGTAATCCAGTTTTAATTCTTAGTTAAATGATGAATTCAACTTTTATATTCAACATTCATCATTCAAAGTCATGACCACTTGTTATCTCTAAGTATAATATTATTACCTTAATAATTAAAATTATTAGTAAAATAAAAAGGCACGGCATTCTTGACTGATAACAGCTATCGATAAAAACTGTTTACGTGCAGCGGATTAATTAATAATAAGTGAAACGTTTAAATAATATCGTTATCTGTGAAAGCAAATTAATGATAATTTTATCGATGTTAAGAAATAAGTTTTATTAGAAAGAGGAAGGAAAAAAAAACGTGTGTACTTATGTACGCGTGTAAGAAGTTATACTTCTTTGGCGTAACAGAACAAAAATACGAGTAGCTAAAGATTTCATCCCGTAACACTTCGTCACAACTCTCTGTTTGTAAAAGGAATGTAGCTAACTTCATCATGTCGCTTTTTGGCTGTCGGTGTGCGCACGCATCGTAAAAATTTTACTCTCATAATTTCTTCCAAACGTGCCAAAAGAAGAATAACTTTAAAAATTGTATTAGATTACTCTTTAATATGTTCAATGTTCTTTGTTCTGCGGCTTATAGGCTACGCTTTAATATGCTAATTAAAAATATTTATTGCTATTGTTTGTCACACTCAGATACGTCACATAATAGTAGCGAATTACATTAAATTCAATAGCATAAGAACGTTATCTATGTAAAATCTATACATATAATAAAATTGTAACCAAGCCGAATCTGTACATTAAATATTTTTTGGAAAATCTTATTGAAATAGACATCATTATCGATACAGAGGCCGTATCTATAGTTTTTAGAATTTTTGTCTGTCTGTCTGTTACCGCATCACAGAAAAACCACTGGAGGGATTTTAATGAAATTTGGTATGGTGATAGCTGGTTATCCGGCTCAACATATAAGATACTGTTTACCGCGGGAAAATATATCATTTCTGAGAAAAATATAAAAACTGCATTGTAAGAGTATACTAATATGTAAAACCTAAGAATTTGGTTTTTGTTCATCTGAACGCGGGCGTAGCCGCGGGCAATGCTAGTATTATATATTTATATAATTACAAGCGACTTAGCTCTGCTTAGGCGCCTCTCTAGGTAAGTAACACTACACGAGCTCTCTGTGTACAAAAGTTCATTCAAATCTATCCATCCAGTATGTTCAGCGTGAGGGCGTCACAAACATACATACATACACACATACAAACTTTCACATTTATAGTAAGAGATGTGATTTTTGCATAAAAGCGTTTTCTCTTTGAAAGCAGTTTATTCGATCAAATTAAGGTGCTATGATAATACTGTCATCCTTAAAATTTTAATCTCATTGTGACTATTTTTTTACTGCTGACCAATAATTGTAAACTTCTGACCAATCGTGTGTATTTCATAACTTTCCAGTATGTTTACTTGATATTGCAAAATTATTCTTTTCAGGCGTTAATCAGAAAAAGTCCATTTAGATTTTTTTCAATTTTCTTATTAATACGTTGAAAAATTTTCAAAATTAAATGACCAATTGTGACCATTTCCTGACCAATTGAAATAATTTTAGATCCAATCTCTAGGACTCAATTTTAGCTGCCCAAATTTTTCCGATGACCTTCGAATTTTAAACTCTCTGTAGTTAGTGTCAAAGTATTGACCATTTACTAAAAGTCACTGACCATGGCACGTCTACGGTTTCTACGGCGCCACAATTTGAAAGCGGATTATATAGATAAATCTCGACTAGACCGGAAAGTACGAATAAACATTTTTTTTTCGATATCTTGCTTAGTTTCCGAGATATCGATACTCAAAAATCGAAAAATGAGATATATTTTTTTACTATTTTTGACAGTATTTAATATATTTTCGAAAAATAAAATGAAATTTAAGTAAGTAATTAATTTCAATGAAATTGAAACCAACCAACCAGCAAATAGGTACCTCTAGCGGTCAAAATTGAAACTTTGATGTTCATAATTCAAAATATCTATATTTTATATTTGTGTAAATTATATATCATATATTTATTAATATTAGCCTAAAATAGTTATCGTCTCGAGCATTGTTTTTTTTATAATTATTTCTGCAAACATTCGTGCTCATCACACAAATAAATGCTCCAGCGGGTCTCGAACCCACGATCGCTGTCGCAGCAAGTATGATCACTACAAATTGTGCCAAACGTATTGTCAAACGTGTTTTTTGTTCGAAAGGGGTTTATTCGAAATCGAATCCGAAATCGACCCAAATAGGGGTGATTGATTTTTCACCAACTGAAAATTTAAAATACTTTCTTACTATTTTTCTATTACTATTACTAAAAATGGAAAAATAAATATGTCATCCGATACAAATCAAAGCGCTCCCACTTTGAAAATATCTCATTAGGTAATAGGTATCTATAGTGAATGAAAAAAAACAGTTATTTTTTACTTTATTTTTAGAAGTCGATTTTTAAACGTCTTTAGGTGATGACACGTTTGGCTCAGTTTGTAGTGACCCTACTTGCTGTGCCAGCGATCGCGGGCTCGAGTCCCGCTGGGGGCATTCATTTGTTTGATGACGAATGTTTGTGCTCCAGTCATGGGTGTTTATATTTATAATATGTATGTATTTAAAGTTATATATGTGTAGTGTATCAACTATCTGGTATCCATAACACAAGCCTCGTAGCTTACCATGGAACTAGATGGTGCTGTGTGTTAATGTCCCAACATATTTATTTATTTTATTATTTATTTATTTTTATTTTATTTTTACCCGATTGTTGCAAAATATTGCATATTGTACTTACTGATGTGTCTCGTTAACGACGGCTGCCTGATCATGGCTCTCTTACTGATGAACCTGTCATAATCGTTTTCTTCTAAAACCCTGTATTTGTTATTCGCATGGCACTCGTCTTCTTTATAAAATTTAAAAATATCCTCGATCTTTTGTGAGTATTTCTTTTTGATACCGTTGTAAATAGGTCGGACGTCCAGCAGTTTTTTGACAAGTTCTGCGTTCATTTTCGATATTTTTACTGTCACTAGCATTTTTGATATTATTTACACACTAAACTTTAAAAGTAAATATAAGGTTTTTATATATAATATATTCTTTATATATTTTAATAATTAATTTGTTTATTTTATTTTATTCACCGTAATATTTAACTTTACAATACGCGATTTGAACCGCCCGCGTTGGAACCAAAGTACACAATGAGTCGAAGGGGATCGATATCGGTAAGATAATGTTTTTAAATAATTTTGTCAATGATAATTATTTAAGATAATTAACATTAAATTTAAGACATGCCTAACAATATGTGATTTTATTTATGTATATATCTTTTTTTTTATTTTTCCTAAAAGTCTTATGCCCGATTTCACCAACAACCCATAAGCTAATACCTACGTATGGGATCCCTAGCTTAAAAACCCCCTAAACTAGCCCCTAAATTAAATTTCGTTTTACGATCGTCTTTAAGCCCATATTTCGAGCACCTCAATTTAGGGGGCCTTTTAATATATTGATGACCCTTACTGTCGGTGAAACAGAAACTGTCCCCTAACGGCCCCCTAACCATGCTTAGGGGATCCCTTAAACTTAGGTGACGTTGGTGAAATCGGGCATTACTCTATTTAGTTATTGTTAACTAAATTACTATGACTATCGACTTGCTCTCGCTTTTCTCAGGTGTCACTCTGCGTGCCTCTCTGTTGTTTAACTATAGCCTATTAGTCCAGGTCGCAATCTTTGTTATGTTTCATCTAAATCTCTCCAGCGTGTAGGAATAACATATACATATACATATGAAGTAAAATAAAACCTGCATTGTTTTTAGTACAAACTATTACTTGTAAAAAGTCTAATTAAAATAAGAACATCTCGAACGACGACCGATTTAATAAAGAATAATTCGAAATACTAATTATATAGTAATGCTTAGAGGCAGTGGTAGCCCAGTGGTAACGCGCTCGCTTGGGAAACCGAGTGAAGCGGGTTCAAATCCCGGGTCTCGCACCTCTGATATTTTCATGTGCGAATCATTTCTAATATGATTACCACTTGCCTTACGGTGAAGGAAAACATCGTGAGGAAACCTGCATGTCTGAGAGAACCTAGCAAGTTTGCGAAAGACATGTGAAGTCCGCCAATCCGCACTTGGCCAGCGTGGTGGACTATGGCCTGATCCCCCTCGTATGAAGGGAGGCCCGTGCCCAGCAGTGGGACGTTAAAAGGGCTGAACGGCTTATGTATGTATGTAACATACATACATACATAGTAATGCTTCTGTTACATTCTAGATAAGGTAGTTTCTACAGAGATTCAAGTGATTTTACCTCCCTTTAATTTCACCTTACGTAATTATGTATATGTTATTATATTATATTATGAACTGCCAATGCTGAATAAAAATAAATGCTTATGTACAATGGTCTTAATGATATAATGATAAATGCTCGCAGTAGTTTTTAATCGACGAGTCGCAGACATCAACCTTAGCAAAGAATCTGTTGTTGTTTATAGCGATAAGAAGTTCTCAAACAATAATCATTATGAATGTTTTATATTATAAAGTTGGCACACACGTAAAGTAGTACAGAAGGAAGTATAGAAAGAACACCAATACATAATTTCATATAATTTCAACGTAAGTCCAAACACAAATAAAAAAACCATTTGATTTTTTAAATGCAAGCTAAACGCATCGAAAAACCAGCACTGACTAATGGGAAAGAAAATTTTTGATCTGTTATAAACTATGGCTTTCGTTCGAGTTCGTTCGTAAAATAATATTTTAATATCCTCGTAAATTCTTTTATTATTCCAATAGAAGAGAATAAAAATTTATTTATAACTAGCGACTACTCGTCCCTTTTAACAGTTAATACAGATTTCTCGGAAATGAGATATTTTTGCAGTATAAAGTATCCTAGATGTTGATTTCATCAAAATCTCTCCAGTGGTTTTCTCGTAATACGTTCCCAGACAGACAGACAAAAATTCTAATATCGATAATAATTACTATTACAATAAGCTTTTCCAAAAAATATTTAATGTACAGATTCGAATAAGAATTTTATTATATGTATAAAGTATTTATACTTTAAACATACAATGCTACAGACTAATAAAACAACAATAAAAAACATGTAAAAATAACATGTCATTAAAATAGCAACAACAACAACAACCCATTAGCTACACATATAACATATTAATAAATTTCATAATAAGTAAAATGATATTTATTTAGGATTAATATTAGTTAATATAAATAATAATTGCACTGTAATATTATAATCTAATATTATTTTAAAGATAGAGCAACTGTTGAGTTTCTCGCCGGCTCTTCTCAGCAGAACTGCCTTCCGAGCTGGTGGTAGATTCCTCACGGACTTACATACTGATATTTTATTTAAACTTAAAATGTAAACTTGACGATTCAAAAGTGTTTATAAAAGTTTAAAAAAAATCTTATTTTAAAGTGTCAGTATTTTGTCCAGAAAATATTTGTTCACTTTTATTATAATTGTTGTTTCGTTTTGTTTTCTTATATTTATAATTTATTTTTTATTCCAATGTTTTCTCGATTGTTAAGCAAGAATAAAAACAAATATCAAGATAATAAGGTTATAATCACCAAATTAATTACTTACTTTCCTAAACACTAATCACGACCTCCACTCTGACGTCACTAAGTGATGTGATAGCGATTGTTTGATATAGTTATCGACATCGATACATAAACCTCACCTATAGGCCCATTAAACCTGGTAACAGATAACAGAAATAAGATAATCGGAAAATGCAAAACATCAACTCTACGCTAAAACAGAACTATAATAGGTTAATAAAATACTTTTTTTATAAAAGAAGTATAATACGATATAAAATATCAAGTATTTTTCTTATTTATATTTAAAGTTTATAATTATAGTATCGATAATGGCGACTATATTATAGAATCAATGAATCACTAGCGAAATAGATTCAACCAATCGTGATTTTTGTAAGAATTTATAACTAAAGAGTTTTGAAATACGTATATTTCTGACACAGTATATAACAATATCTAACTTTCTTATCTAGCTTTCGGAGAATATGGCTAATTTACATATTTTGTTAATTGTCATAAATTCAATTATACATTTTATTGTAATTCAAAATATTTTACTCAGCATTAAACTGTTACAATTTTTTGCTGAACGTCATGAGTTTTCTACCATTTCGGAAAGGACAAGCCTCAGACGGCAGATCTGAGAGGAACTGGTGAAAGAATATTTATAGGTACAGATGAGGTAGAAAATTTTTTTAAAGACAACGCAAGACGCCAGTTTCATCAGATATAACATTCAATATTTTAAATTTTTAGTTTTTCTCTAAATATCAAGTAACATATTTTATCTTTCGTGTCACTGACAACAAAGTTGCACAATGATTAAATAATTTGTATGATGTGCTAATACTTATGGAAGTTGGAAGCACAATATTCATCAAGAATGTTGATTTAATTGTTGTGTAACTTACAACATTAATAAAAAAAATAGACCAATATATTATAATATTTTATTATTAATTTGCAATATTATTATGTAATATTTACACAGGAAAAATTCAAGGTTTCAAAATTTTCGACGTTCGAGGCGAAGATAATTCACTTCCAGTAGGTGTCGCCACTGTACTGGACGCGGGGAACAACCTGGTGGGAGTAATAAGAATATACTATACCAATATTATAAAGAGAAACAAAGTGTATTTTGGTTCATAATGGATAAACTGAAAATCCGCTGAACCTGACAATAGGATAGTTTTATCCCGGAAATGGTCCCTAAGGGGGTGAAAAGTGGGATGAAAGTTTGTATCATTTCTCAAGTAAGGCATATAAAACTTATTATACGTATATTATATAGTCTATCTATTCCATACTAACCGTTAAATAAAAGGATAAATATTAAATATCGTAAGCGTTTTTTATAAGTACAAGTATTCAACATATATATAAAAAATATGAAAATATGTATGTTAATTATATATTTATTCGTATTTCATATTTATTATGATTATTTATTTAATTTTATTCGAAAGATACCATAACTGCTAACATAATATCGATAAAAATTAAGAATAATAACAGGTAACTTTGGTATCTATACATAGTATAAAACAAAGTCGCTGTCTGCTTCTGTCTGCCTCTCCGCTTACTTCTCCTTATCCACGCAACGGATTTCGATACAGTTTTCACAAAAAGAAAACGATGAATAAGGAAGGTTTATGTATATAATTTGTAAATGTTTTGTAATTAATAACTGAGCCTAAACAGATTTTGGTTAAAACACTGTTTTCGTACAATTATATAGAGATACATCAAAACAATGAACTAGAAAATTTTAGATCTTCAAAAGGCCTACAGAAACGTCCGCGATACGTGTATCTATCTCACGCTACGCTCACAATAACTATTTTTATCTATATATATAAACGCGTTTGTTCGGACGTAGTCTATACATATAATAAAATTTTAACTGAGTCAAATCTGTACATTAAATATTTTTTTGGAAAATCTTATTGAAATAGACATTAGTATCGACATAGAATCGAATCTATAGTTTTTAGAATTTTTGTCTGTCTGTCTGTTACCGCATCCCAGAAAAACCACTGGAGGGATTTTGATGAAATTTGGTATGATGATAGCGGGTTATCCGGGTCAACATACAGGATACATTTTACTGCGGGAAAATATCTTATTTCTAAAAAATCTATACTGAACGTTGAAAAAAGCGTGGGTGAGTCGCTAGTTTTTATCATATAAAGGGTCATACCTATTATGATATTATCATATTTATGAGAAGTTATGACTAATTTGCCCCATTTTTATGATAATGGCTTCAAGATAACTTTAAGTTTAAATAAAACAAGTATTAAATTAAAAGATTTCATAAACGTTTGTATTATCGTTAATTTACTCTGTATTGGCAGAGTTACATCATCTTCGTGTTATAAAGTAGCTAAAATATTTTATGCTAGACATTTGTTTATTATTTAATCGATTTTTTTATCGAATATAAAATAAAAGTCATCAAACATTTACAAGTGTAAGACGGTACAAAAATATTTCCACACAATTAATAAAAAATTACGTGGAGCGAAATATGTATTATATTTCGCTCTATCTCGCTCGCTCTATGTATTATACACTCGTAGAAATCATAGCACTTGGCACTCTTTTTGTTTTTTCTGACCACCCTGCAAGTGTTACTGCGTTAACTTATAAATTACTAGCATTGCCCGCGGCTCCACCCGCGTTCAGATAACCTAAAACCAAATACTTAGGTTTTACATATTAGTATACTCTTACAATGCAGATTTTGTATTTTTCTCAGAAATGAAATATTTTCCCGCGGTAAAATAGTGCCAAATTTCATTCAGATCTGTGCAGCTGTTTTAGGGTGATTGAGTAACAAACATCCAAATATCCAAACATCCATCTAAACTTTCACATTTGTAATATTAGTAAGATGGTAGTATTTCAGTGAAGCCTCGATGGTTTTTGTACTGCAATATGTTACATAATATGTATTATTTAGTATTAGTTGTGAATGTTAAATAAATAAAACAAACAACTAACCTCAACACACGAGAGCATTCCTCCGCTAAATGCTCGAAGGAAGGTAAAGGGTCCGGTTCGTAGCTTTTCAGCGCTAAGTAAGGAGCGCCCGCGCCGACCGCCGCTTTCATCTACTCGATTATAGTTTATACTAATAAGTTACTACCTACTAAGTATACTATGAATATTGTTAAATAATACTTTTTTAAATTTATTTACAATAAAGAAAATTACAAATATACTTAATTATATTATATTCTTTGGGCGGAAAATGAATATTAATTGTTAAACTGACTAATTATTTATAAGACGGACAATTTAATTAAATCTGAATAACTAAGATAAGAATAAAATATCTTTTATATATATGAGTATAAATGATAACTTCGAATAATGTAAAAACCATATCAATTGTTTTAACATAAATATTACTTAAATAAATAACAAAAAAAAAATCTGTTCCTATCTGTCAAAAAGATAAATTATAGTAGGTACTTACAGCTTCCTTATTATTTTCCATTTCATACAGTTTTTTGTTTAAATCATGCTTTAGTCCTTGCATCAAGACAAAGTCTTTGCTTATTAATCCTTGAAGGCCTATAAAATGATAAATATTTAATGTTTCCACTAAAAAAATAATATTTTCGCAGAATATTTTGTAGCTTAAAAATAAAAAACATCATCAGTATAAATATGATATTAGTATAACAGTATATAACTGCCTCAGTGGTGTATTGGCTAGCATGTACGGCTGCACATTTGGAGGTCCTGGGTTCGAGTCCCGGGTCGGTCCAAGTTTAGTTATTGAGTCTTTCTGTTTAGAAAGTCTCAGTAACAGCCCGGAGTTGGGAAGTTGGCGGTGTTTCACCCCCGTGCCTCGGAGAGCACGTAAAGCCGTCGGTCCTGCGCCTTAACTCTCACCGGTCGTGTCGAGTGGTCGTCCCACCGGAGTATGAGAGTGACAGGAACAGAGAGTGCGCGTCGTGTCTGCGCTCTCGCTCACACGCGCTGCACTATAATATCTCCTGCGCAGTTGGCTAGTCTCAATGAGATTGGCCGCCGTGGCCGGAATCGGTCAAGAAGAACATCATCATAACAGTATATTTTTTTTAATTACCAGCTTTTTCTAAAAGATCGTCAAGATCTTGTAAAGGATGTTCAGACTCGACCGGCGCCAGAAGTTTCGGTGACTGAAGCGATGGTTTGCGCGTTCGTATGGAAGGTTCTGTAAATAGACGTTAGCACTTAGAAAAATTGTATAGGTAATAGGTAAGTACATTGTCTCTCTTATGTACTGAAACTTAAAACCTAACTCAATCTATAAATATATCTAGAAACAGAACAACTCATTTAAGAAAACCAATTTCCAAAACACTCTAAATATTTCGGACACGAATCGTCAAATGTACATAAAATCTTCAAAATAAAAATAAACCTTTACTTAAATAAATTTAAAAGTAATTTATTTCTAATTCAAAAAAATCCTGTTAGAAATGGGCACCGAAAAAGTTCAACTCATATTACATTATTTAAATAAAAAATATAAAAATATGATAAAAGACTTAAGATACTCGTAAATATTATATTTCTTGTTTGGAAAGAAAAAAAACCGCGAAAAAAGCCAAAATTCTTAATACCAGCGTCGACAGTATAAATTATATAAATATTTATTATATAAAATTTATTACTTTCTAATAATATTTTTTTTGTTCTGTGATAATTAAGTAAATAGTAACGCCTAAGACTTAGACAGGTTACTATTAAAGATAAAATACTTGAACATTCTGACGTTTATCTTATTTTTTACAAACATATAAAATAAATATACAATAATCGGACTACTATTCGAATTATTACGTATTACTTATTTGCTAATGTTATGTACTTCAGTGTGCACGCGAATAAAGCAAGGGTTTGTCGCTAGTATGTAATAATTTTTTCTTTAATTCAGAGCTTTTAACTGCTGTTTTTGAATTTGACAAATCGTTTGATTTCTTTGAATCAAATGAATTTTTGAAATGAGTTTTCTCTAATTTCGAGAAACGTTTTATAGGACTTGACAGACCATTTTTTTGATTTTTATAACACGTACATCAGATCAGAGCTGGTTACAAGTACCAACCCATTAAATCAGGAGGTAGTTCCCAAAAGGAAGGACGTCGCGCCCTCAACGTGTCTCCGGGAGGCGGCAGCGTGGAGCCCTCCCGGTCGCGCAGCTTGACAACGCATACGTAATCACAGCAAGTTATTAAAACCTCCGGTCGATTAAAACGTATATTTTCTCTGAAATCAAAGAAAATGAAATTATTTAGTAGACGTCATACGAAGTGTATCATACAACTATTCAAAGTCTGCGCGTAGAAAGAGTAATATACTTTGTATTTATAAATTGCCTATATTTTCATCAAAATTGATAAAATATTATAGGTTTTTTTATCAAGAAAACTGTTTCGTACGCTACAAGGCTAACGTTGGCTAAACCTTAAAGGGATGTGTACATCAAAACAATGTACGAGGAACTTGTAAGTACTCAAAAGGCCTGCAGAAAACTCTGCGATAGCATGTGTCTATCTCCAAAGGTACACTCACAATAACTATTTTTATTTATTTAGGGACGCAAATCGAACGAAGCGATGGTATGTCGCTACATACTAAAACAACATATAGAGTATAGACATATAGACATTTTTTATATAATGTCACAATATTTAAAATCTTACGGATCTCCTTCAACCCCATCCAGAGAATGCGATGGTTCAGGTTGCAGCATCAGGCCCCCGGTGGACCCTTGGTACACACTGGAACCACGACGTGACAGGCCGCATACATCGTCTGCATCTTCAGACGATTTCTTAATTGGGGGGCCTTGCATAAAAAGAATAAAACAAAGATAACATTTAGTATACCGATAGATCTGGAGAAACACATAGGCTTCTTATTATTCAGACTATTTTTCAAAACAAAGAATATACTCGTCCTCCGTACTTATATAATATTGTCCTCCGTTTTCCAAGTTTGCTAAATTTTTTGAGCATTTGCAATTGGCGGCTTGGTTAGGTGCAGTGATATTGCACCACTGCCTGCGTCCTTGTAATGTAAGCTATTAGTCCACAATCACTTAACTTACTCACCACATTGCCATTTTTCAGTACATTGATTTATTTAATTTTAGAAATAATCATTAAAAATTCTAATACTCTAACCTTAAAGAAGTTTACTTTCTACAATCGATTTCGCTAATAGAAAACTAAAAAGAATATAGAAACAACGAATTCTGTCCACGTGATGCACTGCTTAGAAATGTCACATACAACGTAAGAGATAACGATCGTAGAATATAATCTTATCCAATCTTACTACACTGTACAGTACAAGTCATAATTATTGCTCAACAAAACATTTATTTTTAAGAATACGCTATCTTAGTTCAATAAAAATTGATTTTTCATTGATATCATTTTATAATCTCCTGCAAAATAAAACACGTCAAAAAACACGTAGGTATTTGTTAGTGAAACAACAAAGGCAAGGCCAGTTTGCTTTAACAACGTAATAAAGTGTTTAGATCTCATATGCTATGCATAATACGTTATCATCGTCATCATGACTCAGTCTTGGTCTGGTGAAATATGTTTTACAGTAAGTTTATTTCCAGTAACACGTTATTGTAAGTCATAGAATAAATAATATCGTAAATCCTTAAAATATACATAACTAAGTAGAATAAAGCAATAAGAAGGCAATAATGTTCATACCAGGATGAATGCAATAAGTCCCAAACTCCACCTTCTTCCCGAGCACGCCGAGGAACGGAAACTTTATTTTGACAGTTTGAAGGAGACACTCTTCATATAGATCCCAAATATGCAGGTACTAAAAGCAAATACACAAAATAAGATTTATTTAGCTAATTCATCTAATATACATATATTATTATCAATTTCAACAAAGTCGGCGAAGTAGTTGTACTAAGTACATCACTACTAGATGCAATTGGATTGACTTTTGGAAAATACATACGTCATACAAATATTTGTGGTTATGTAGACTACTCTAACTACTACTACTAACTCTGTGTATTGCAAGTATTAGATAAAATAATTTTGCTGGAAGAGGTATTTTGCTGGTTAGGTATCTTAGAGGTAAGTCCGCCTTGCCCTCATTTATCAGCGTGTCAGTAACCTCAATAGTATGATAAAGAATATAATTACTAATCACAATTCATATAAATTGTTACATAACTTTAACACAACTGTAACATGCAAATAAATAATAAAATAATCGAAAAAGTGTGGCCAATATATATTTGAATATGTATTTACAAACATAAGAACAACATTGATTGCGGTTTCAATACATAACACATATTGTGGAAGCTAGAGAGCAACATTTAGTTATAAAAAATAAACAAAATATCTTCACTCCTGATCACGTGACTCTTTAACACGGACCTCTAAGCACTCGTGCTTACGCGAATTTATTAAACAAAATACCAACACTACTAATGAGTAGTGATGAGTAGTGTAATGACTCAACTACATCAAAATCTGATCCACTATGTAAAATATGTAAAGATAAACAAGTAGTACCTACTCGTATGTGAGGGGATTATATTTAAGAGTGGCTGGTTGTATCTTATAAGTGAGAATAAATAAACAAAATAAATAATAAACAAAGTTCATATATGCCTAAATGAATATATGAAAAACAGGATTGCAATTGTTAAAATAAGGAATAAGCATTTCTTCAGTTATTTTCTAAACAGTGATAAAGTTAATATTATTATAATACATGGCAGTAATTGGTACATTCAAATACTTACACAGTTACAAAAGTAAGCTATGACTATTTCCAAAGAAGCGATAACGACAACGTCCAAAACAGCAGGAGATCCTGGAACTGATAAGGAAGCGAAAGGCGAGCCCTGAGGACTCTCCCACAGTCGCACCACTCCATCGGGACTGCCAGTAGCCAGCATGTGCAGTGAAGGCACCATGTGGAAACACGTGACACCCTAGAAATACATGGACCCTTCATACAAGACTTTGAAAGTTAATATCGAATTTGGCTTTGAGTTCTGCTGATATGTTAATTTAGTTGTGAGTCTGACCGCAAATATCTACATATATATATATATATATATATATCATCATATATATATATATATCATGCAAACATATTTCTTGATCTGAGTTCTTGTCACTAACCTTACATTTATCTTAGCACATTTACTTCCAAGTTCGATTCAGTAAAATGGACATTTAAATCCACCCCAAACTTTTAAAATGATGGCTTACCCTTTGTACGTGGAAAATATAATCTGGAAGCTTTCCCGGCGCATGGCGAGCTCTAACACTGACACTAGTGTCGTGGGAGCAAGTGAACACCAAGTCTCCGCTAGCTGCGACGCGGCGGATTGCGCGGGAGTGCACCCTGCGCCACACACTAGTACTGCAGTATGAGGTGTGAGGAGGGGATGATAGCTCCTAAATAGAATATTACTTTATTAGATTTACGCGAATATTTGACATCATCGTCATCTAAATGGCAGGGACGATTTTAATTATATTTTTTGTGTATGTTCGAGTGAATCCCTGCAAGGGTTGAATTCACAAATGGATCCGGTAGGTGGCGCAGCAATCGGTGTGTCACTAAATTTTCATAAAAGACTCCATTTTCTGAGGAATAAATAAAGTTAAATTGTTGATTAAATAAAATAAAAATCGGTGTGTTTATGTGTGATTCATATGGACTCCAAAACAGCTGGGGCGATTTTGATGATATTTTCATATAATCTTCAGATTAGCGCAGCGGGTGATCCTGTGGATTTTGTTAGCGATCGGAAATTTGGACCCGGGCGCAGTCGCGGGTACTGCTAGTATATTATAATATCTCTATTGAAATATATAGTCTCAGATCAGTCACCGTAATCGAAACTTAATCAGGAAAGGCGCTATTGAAGTCTTTGTATGTCATGTTACTAAAACTTGGTTGAGATTCTTCTTTACTTTCACACTTTTCACTTGTTTAGACTTTCAGTGTATTTAGTCATTTACAATGTTCAATCAAATGATGATAGTAAAAGCGGCATTAATTTGATAATAATAAATCACTAAATAAGCCTTTTAATAGACAGTATTAGGAACTTTGTCTTATACTATTCAAATATATAAAATATTTTAAATAATTTACCATCCAATAGTAATAATTAATGTTGTCCGGAGATTTTACGTAAAGAAGCGAGAGACGTGGTTGCAGAAAGCGCAGGCGCGTCAGGTCGCCGCGCTCTGAGCCGAATAGTAGCTCCGACTCGCAGGAGCTTACATCCGTTGTGTAAGCTAAACACTGAAAATAATATTTTGATAAATACTAGTATTTTGGCCACTAAGTTATATCTGCAGTTATATTTGCAAAAAAATCTTTATACTTATATCCCATAAAAATTACAGGAAATTTATTACATTTAGGAGATGCTATTCCATTCTTAGTAACCTGTCCATAAATTAACCCCTTTTTTAATGTTGGTAAATGCATTTACGCATACCACCTGTATACATACAGGTGGCTATGTGGGATTCACCAGCGAGAAAAGCCAGTACTACCCACTAAAACCCTACAAAACCTCCTCCGTCTTAATGGGGCGTCCATAAAGTAATCCTGTAAATATCTGAGAGTCTAATTTTAGAATCAATAACTTGCTGAGACAGCAAGTAATTAATTGATTGAGTCAATTAAACATGTATCTGTAAGGTTTTTAAAACACTTCTTCTCCCTGCTTATTTCCCAATCACTTGGGGTCGGCGCAGTACATCTTCTGTACTGCTGATAGGATTTTAGGAAAGTTTTACGACCGGCCGCCTCACGCCTGCCTGAAGTCAACCCTCCTTGGGAATGCTATTGTCTCTCTTTGTCTGAATGGTATCGCGGAAGTCTTGTAATATGCACTTTTTATTTTTTTGTCTTTTAAAACATTCTTTATACTATTACTTAAATTTTTAATGTTATTTTTGGATATATTTTAATAATAAATTTTGATTACACAATAAATTTTGTTTTGACGTTGACAAATTTTTTCAAATTTTTTTAAAACACTATATAACATTAAATTTCTTACGGTGGGTATGTTCGGCAAACCGGTGATACAGTAGAGGGGTGTGTGAGTGAGTGTCGTCACGTCGTATATCGTGAGGCTGCGGTCTGACGCCGACAGTAACAGACACTGCACGTCCTGAAATCATCATTAGCAAAAATTTATTTTTATCTACCACACAGAAATTAATTTAATTTTTTTTCTAATTAAAAAGTTTTCATTTAATTTTTTGCATTTTTTTATAAGAATCAAAGAAAAAATCATTATGCCGTTATAAATATACAAAATTTTGTATTTTTTTTATTTTTACGGGTTTTTTGATTCTAGTAAATTAGTTCATAATTTTTCACTTTTTAATTAATTTTATAATCTTACGTTCATATAAATTGCATCAGTTATCCAGCAGTTCTTGACACGACGACGCACTCCAGTCCTGTGGTAGAATACCTAGAACAAACATTTTAATAATTTGCTTTGGTCGCAAAATGATATGATCCTTGCTATTTGTTTAGTTATTCTTTGTATTTTGTATTATTGTTATAAAAAACTCTGTTTGTTGAAAAAAGCTAAAACTTTTGACTGAGCGGCTATGGGGAAATAAATTATTTTCTTTAATTGTATATGTATATAAAATGAACATAAACCTGTTTGATTGTGGGCCTATTTTGCGTAAGCCATTCATTCCATGGTGATGAAAGTCTACTGAGTGATTGAACTCATGCCTGCTTCTGGCGTTTCTGTATGATTTTTACTATGCTAATATTCACCTCGTAAGTATTTAGAAGCTGCATATCACCACTGTACACTCCAACCCGCCCGCCCCTCGACACGGCGGCGTAGCAGAAGGAATTTTCTCTTTCTATACTCACTAGCTTTATAATGGTTTCCCTCTGAAACACGTTAAACTTTATAAAGGACGAAACTGCAAGCAGAAACTAATTTGGAAACATAATCATACTGTCATATATTGTAAATACGAAAGTTTTCATGTGTGTATGTTTGTTTCTGTCTTCAAAACGACTAGACGAATTTGGAGGAAACCAAAAAAGCCTGGAGTATCGTAGTCTACTGTTAGGCACCTAAAGATGCACACGAGTGAAGCGAGCGTAAGTCACTAGTAATAAATATTAATATTTTAATAGGACTACTGTTTAAAAGTTTGCATTTATGTGTGTTTGTTTGTTACTCTTTTCCGCTCAAACGTCTGGACCGATTTGGATGAAATTGTACCTAGAGACCCAAGCGAAGTAAGGGAAGTCGCTAGTTGTTTCCGATTTCCCTCACCTTACAATGTTTCAACTGAATCATCCCCCAAACACTGACAGGGTTCCATCTCTCCGAGCGCGAGGTGGTGGTGCGCCCGCCCGCTACCACCAGCCGCGACACCACCTGCCGCCACCACACCCGGCCGCTACTGAATGTATCCAATGTTCGGAATAGTTGCCGAGAGTGACTTGTATATTTACTGTGACCTGAGAAGTTTGAGTTATTTTTATAGTTTTTGCTGAAATTGAGTTCATTTAGTCCTCCTTAGGTTTCTGTGCATCACATTAACTTTACTCATATGGAGACTGTTTGAAATATGTGTACTTCCAAGTTTGGTAAATAGATATCTCATGTTAGACAAAACAAAACTATGAAGTATAATTTTATTTGTACCGTTTACTAGAACACAGAGACAGATATCTGACAATTTAAATAAAACTATCTTTTCAAATTTGTCTCCCCCACGATCATGGTTACTGTAAATTATTAAATAATATATTAAAATAAATAATATATATAATAAATAATTCCGCAAAAAATTCCAAAAAGATACGTATTATTTAAAATAAGTTTAAAGTGATAGGCAATAACTTGCACACATATTGTCGTGATAATCTTCTTTTTCACCACACTTATTATTGTATCATATTTATATAAGCAAAAAAAAATCAATGTCAATATAATTTATGATGTACTTTCATAAATACCAAATATATTATTAAATGCTGTGATGAATCCACTCTCGTCTAAGTACAAAGTATTGGGCAACACTTGCGCAGGCGCAGCGAACTCGATGCCCTCCTCAGCGGCCGCAGTGCGCATCACCTCTTCTACTCGCCTTGAAATAAATTCATATATTTTAATCATTCAACAAAAAAAAAATTAGATGTCGTATAGTGTGATGTTCGAACTAAGTCTTTATATGAATAAAAATTAAATTATGTATTTAAGTTTACTAATAACTTTTAATGTCGGTTAAATTTTGGTTCCGTAAAAAAAGAGATACTTTTAATGATAATTATTTAAAAAAAAAGGTTTATTAGGTAGTTTTAGATATATGTATGTTTGTATTTTTAGATATAGTTGGTAGTACATGTTGGGTCCAAATACAGTTGTTCCTCATAGAAGTACTATAAAATACTATATTATTGCTGTCGGTACAATTAATATTGTATATAGGCTAATCTTTTTTTCTTATCAAATTAAATATGTCAGAACATATCCGCACTTGTCCAATTTTTTACATTTCATTTTACCTGTCTATATCCCTGGCAGCATTCTTCTCCTTAGCTTTCTTAAAGCTCCGTCTGAGCTTACTGAGCACCGCCGGGGTCAGTTTCTTCAACAGTTCCCGAGACAAGGACTCCTCTTCATCTTCACTACTTTTGGCAAAAACTTGAATTATTTATAAAATAATTTAAAATATTAAGCTAAATAAACTAAATAATAAGCTTAAGATATTTTTATAATATGTATATAATTTAATAAATATTTATAGTAAGAATATATTGCCTGTATTAAGACTGTACAATGCTGCAAAGAATAACCGATGCGTGAATTAAGTTATCTATACAGAAAAATTGTTTCCAATCTTTTGATTGATTGTATATCACTAACGCCTATCAATGGCTACACTAAGAGGAAAAGAGGTATTAAAAATATTTTTATAAATCAACTTTATAATATGTATGTATACATAGTATAAATCTTTACTGTTGCTACTTGCTATTGCCAAGTAGTATACCAATGAGGCAATGCACTCGTGTATCTAGTTATTATCCAAAAATTTACTAACCCCGACAAACTCTCCTCGGAAACACTTCTCACGGAGTAGCTCCTCTCGAATATTTCAGAACACTCGTCATTTAGAGATTTTTGTGATTTTATAGACATTTTTAGAACATCAACATTTACAATTAGATTTTGTTTTATCAATAGCTGTAACCATATCTAACTTTTGTGAACTTACGCCATCTAGCGGCTAATAGTCAAATTAAAAACATGGAAGGGATGGAGTCTAAGTTTTACCGATTAGCCTGACGACTTGGTAGTTATTATAAAACCTAGTAGATGGCGCTGTTATTAAAGACTAAGAATTTTAAGTTCAAATTATAATAATACTAGCAGAACCCGCGGCTTTGCTCGCACTAAAATTACAAAATATCCCTAAAAAGGTAAAGGTAAGGTTCATATAAACTTACATCCCCTATTTTACCCCCTTATAGGATGAATTTCAAAAAATGCTAAAACACGTATTTATTTAATTGTATTGAAGAGCATTAATACCAAGTTTCTAGTACCTATTTCTGATCATATATATTTTTTTGGATTGTATTACAACGTGTTTCCCGTGGGAAATAGATAATCTCTCGCGATAAAAAGTAGCCTATGTCACTCTCCAGCCCTCCAACTATTTCCACATAAAAAATTACGCCAATCCGTCTCTCCGTTTCGACGTGAAAGAAAGACAAACAAACAAACACACTTTCACATTTATAATATTAGTATTGATATTGTAAATTTTTTGTTAATATTTTTGTTCATAAAATTTATATTAAGATTAAAAAAAACTTGTCTGCTGTTTTACGAACAATAAAATACTACTTCACTGTAAAAATATAAGAAAATGTAAACTATAAAAGTACTTTATGACAAAACTTGAACTATACGATAAAATTTCTAAAAATATATATAATATATATATATGCATTGTGGTTCAATCAAGTAAAAATTTCACAAAACTAATATGAAATATGTTATAATATCATAACATCACAAGACCCTCGTACTAAGTAGAAGAGTATCTGACAGCCGACAGGTGGGGGATGACAAAATAAAACACAACAAATGAACATTGTCTATGGTACGTATTAATGTATTAATACTTAGAGCTAACAAACCGATCTCTACTGTCGCTATACAATGCGGAGACCACCATGTTCGGGGACAACTTGCTGCATCTCCACCAGAAACCACAAATATTCGCAGCATTAAATAATTTCATTACATAAATTGTATACAGAAAGCTCATTTTGACTTTAATTCATTACTTTTGATTTCGATATTGCCCTCTTTAATATTTATAAGAGCAAGTTCTTAGACACTGTCTATTATTTACTTTACTATATAAAATATTTATTTACGATCACTCAGTCCTTTACTTATACGAAATAAACGATGAGATATTAAGATTAAGTATTGAAACAGCAGCTGTTGTAGATTTGAAAGTTCACACAAACTGAGAGAAAGAAACAAGTATTTATTGAAATAAATCTAAAATTTCGCAAAAGCATTATATATATTCGTTCAATAAAAGCTCCAAAACAAAATTATCAATATTCGTAATTATTTATAAGTTAGGGGAAATGATGTAGTCTTGAACGTAGTAAATCGAATTTTGACATATAAATTGATACCTAGAGATGACAATAATATATATATATATATATATATATATATATATATATTATGACTTACGTGTGCACTTTCGTCGGACTTGTATACATATATAAAGTTGTTAGTGAATTAGAAAAGAAAACATAAAGAGCGACGTCACAATGCAACAAGCGAGACATTTTGATTAAACGACGCGTTCACGATACGACCAAGATAAACTTAAAAATATTACAAAATATACATTTAACATATTGAATTTGTAACTTATTATTTATACCAAACTTAAGATTGCTTTGGTTCTAACTTTGAAAATAAAAAATGCCTTATTAATAAACCTGACGCTTTAAATTGTTCTAATTTGGTTCTTGATCTAATATAATTCGTTATTAATTTTGTTACACGATGTATGTAATTATATCCAATATAGATTGAAATAATTTTTAATGTTTTAAATTAAGCAGTTTACAGTTTAGCGTTTCGCTTTAGTTTAAATATATTATAAAAGTGAGTGTAAGCATGAGGAAATGCGGCAGATTTATCAATAAGGCTTATAATAGGGTTCCAAAGTGTCGACAAAAATAGAAAACATAAAGTTATTTCTACTTACAATATATGATACAAATCGAGGGACGGCTCTATAACTGTATACAATAAATAAAACATCGCAATGTACATGAGACATGTGCTTCGGAACCGCAACGCAAATAGGAACTATCAACCACTTGCCTAGTTTACAGTTAAATATTAGTGGCCACAGTCCAAACGTAAAAAATCATTTTAACACTAATCGATAATATGCTAGATATCAAAAATGTATATATATATATATATATGTATATATATATATATATATATATATATATATATATATATATATATATATATGGATATTACAAACAAACTCTCGAATTTTAGTACAATAGGAATTAAAAATTATTAAGGAACTAATGAAAAAGAATGCATAAGAGCTTTGATGAAGACTTATGCAAATGTGATGTTTATAATAAAACTCATAGCTCTATTATTTTATATCGAGCTTTTAATAATAAGCTAGTAGTGTAGAGTTCCTTGAAATTTCATTAAAAGTACTTAAACTTTGCTATTTATTTCATTGCTAGCAGAAAGTAAACTTGGAAGGGTTTTTCTTACTAAAATTTCAAACATCGAGTGATAAATACAATTTGTTTCTATTACATTAACTCTATGCTCCGTAATGTCTCACCGAGCGCCGGACACCGACGTACTCTACCTAACACTTTCCCTTACATAAATAGCTTATTGAAATCTATCATTATATTTATTATTGTACGAACGCGTATACATGTATGTATGTATTTTCAAATACAGCTCACATTTTATACTAACTTACATTATTATATGTCCATGAAGTTCGAATCATCGGTTTTATTTACATAGAAACTACAATTATATAATAAAACTGTTAATCTATAGATAGTGTCCTTGAAAATTCTTTAAAAGATTTCTGATTTTAAGAGATTTCAAGTGAAGAATGAATGAAACAAAATTTTTTTAGATACCTAAGTATTATTTGCTGTCCTTTTTTGAGTACGATTGTGGTTTACAATAGGTATGCGAGTTCAATTATTTTCTAAGACATTATGTTATTAATATACCTCTGGGTATATTTGTTTCGTCTGTACAACCATATATTGATACATATAACCATATATTGATACATATAACTGCCTCCGTGGTGTAGTGGCTAGCATGTACGGCTGCACACCCGGAGGTCCTGGGTTCAAGTCCCGGGTCGGGCCAAGTTTAGTTATTGTCTTTCTGTATAAGTAAGCCTCAGTAACAGCCCGGAGTTGGGAAGTTGGCGGTGTTTCACCCCCGTGCCTCGGAGAGCACGTAAAGCCGTCGGTCCTGCGCCTTAACTCTCACTGGTCGTGTCGAGTGGTCGTCCCACCGGAATATGAGAGTGATAGGAATAGAGAGTGCACGTTGTGTCTGCGCGTACACTTGTGCACTATAATATCTCCTGCGCAGTTGGCTAGTCTCCATGAGATTGGCCGCCGTGGCCGGAATCGGTCGGGAGAACATATTGATGTAACAAAGTACTACATGAAGAGCTTGATTATGTACATTTTGGCAATTTCAATGAAAATTTTATATTTTCCTATGATTTATTTTAATTATTTTCATTGATTGCATAAGTAAAATACCCTTTGATATTGTTAAAAGCAGTTGTTCAGACAATTGTCTAAAATATAAAAAAACATATCGTTTCACTTTATGTCGTATACACATGGTGTTAAAATTCAAAAAAATGTTCAACATAGTTAGATGTTCTTCTTGTTATTTACATCGACAGGCTGTTTGTTATTCTTTAAATATTTTTCTTAGTAATGACTTTGGTCTTTTTAGTTATACTTTCATTCATAAATCAAACTTAAGTAAATTCAATGCTAAATGCGTTTCACAGTAATCAAAATGTGAATATATATATATATATATATATATATATATATATATATATATATATATATATATATATATACCTCAGACTAAAGAACTATATATAGACGGAGCCCGTCAAAATAAATGTCAAAGTCAAAAATAGTAAGTAGCGTGATTAGCGGTTTATGTTACTATTCACGTCTTGTTTAAAGAATAAGGGAAATTTTATATAGATCATTTAAAATTTTTGAGAATAAAATATGAATAATAAAAATAATACTAAATTAATTTGTATTTTTTAAATATCAGTTCTCTTCTACTTGAAAGAGAGAGTCTAATATTGCTTTATTTATTTTTTTCTTTTTTATTATAATAAAATCCGTTAGATATTTGTATTTATTAATATTTACTTATCACTCAGCATACAAATTGTCATTTGTATATCGTTTTAAACCAATATTGTTTGGCTTCATGTTTTGTTCTATGACACTCAGTCTAAATTATTCTTTAGTCTGAGTAATATACATAAACTTAATAATCTCGTTTTATTGTTTATGGTATTTATGGTATTACCATGCTATATAACGTCTAAATGTGTTAAACTAAACCTTCTATTATATTTTCTTTGCACAAACATAGAAATAACGATCCCCTTTAAATAAAACTCAACTAAACACGACTTGCCTATCTCATACTTTTTTATAAAACATTAAATGTATAGGAAAATAGCTTTTATTTAAAAATATATTTTTATCTACCCAAAAGATAATATTCAAAAAGTATTTTATATGAGTTACATTTTTTGGTATTTTGTATTAAATGTTTATTTTTAAGGCATTTAAGAAAACCAAAACGAAAATACAATTAAATAAATTAAAGAAATAGTTTAACACACCTAGAGTAGCAATGAGCGATTTTCTACTACGGCAACACTTTTGTGTAGGGCTTATACCATGTTATTTGTGTGCGTGTGTCTGTGGTTGTGTTTCAGACTCGGTCTACGTCTGAGGCTATGCCTCAGTCTGTGCCTGGGTCTATACATGAGTCTGTGTCTGAGTCTGGGTATGTATCTGTGTCAATTATTGTATATTGACGTTTAGTTATGGGTACACATGTGTGTGGAGATGGGGGTGGGTGTGGGAGTGGGAGTGTGTGTGGGGGTGTCGGGGGTGCGAGTGCGGTCAGTAGACGGGGCTGTGCGCGTCGTAGTTGAGCTGCAGGTAGGGCGGGATGGCAGCGGACAGCTCGGAGGCGCGCCGGCGCAACGCCGCGATGCTGTGGCCGCGCCACATCTCCTCCTCTCCCTCAGCGCCACCACCTGGTGACAACACGTACTCGGTTATATATTACTAGCGACTCACCCTCGCTTCACTCGGGTTTGTTCCTACTTCCGTTTTAAATTAAAATAGATATTTTCTTATTTTGATAAACATATGTTTACGGTCAGACATATAACAATTTTAAATAAACGGTATGCGCTGTTTAATTGATTTGAAGTAAAGCAATAAAATGTATGGCAAAAAGATACCTAAGGGACTCTCACTAACACGAGCGAAGCGTGGATAAGTAGCTATTTTTTGGTTATTTACAATAGAGAATATAAGAATAGCTTACATAATATTTTCTTAGATTTACTCAAATATTTGACATTTTAAAGAAAACTATCTAGTTTTATTTAAAACTAGCACTGCCCGGGGCTCCGCTCGCGTTCAGATGGCCAAAAGCCAAATTCTTAGATTTTACATATTAGTATACTCTTACTTTGTAGTTTTTGTATTTTATCTCAGAAATGAGACATTTTCCCGCGGTAAAAAGTATCCTATATGTTGATCCGGATAACCAGCTATCACCATACCAAATTTTATCAATATCCCTCCAGTGGTTTTTTGTGATGCGGCAACAGACAGACAGACAGACAGACAGACAAAAATTCTAAAAACTATAGATTCGGCCTCTGTATCGATAATAATGTTTATTTCAATAAGATTTTCCGAAAAATATCTTATGTACAGATTCGGCTTAGTTACAATTTTATTATATTATGTATAGATAAGAATAGTTTCTTACCAGAAGTAGTGGGTGAGGCGTTGTTGTTGCCACAGTGCGCCATGTGCGGCGGCGTGGGCGAGCCCTCCACGCCTTGCTGCCCGCTGATGTTGTTACAGTACGACATCATCGTGTCTCCTGCGAATTGGCGAGTATAGTTTTACCCAAGTGAGACAAAACCGAAAAGAAGTTATGTGTTTGGCATATAATTATAATGTCATCCCAACCGATCGACAGCCGCGGCTGTCAATCTTACTGAGATCAGACGCAGGGCCGACGGCTCTCTAAAGCACGGTGTAGAAACACTGCCAGCTTCCCAACTCCGGATATTACTGAGACTTTCCTAACAGAAAGACTTAATAACTAAACTTGGTCCGACCCGGAACTCGAACCCATGGTCTGCAGATCGGTATGTTTGTCTCCAACTGCACAATACTATGCTCCTTTGGTAACTTGTTTCCATATTTTTATCTCGATTTTTATGCAGTTTTTTTTATTGAAATGCTTTTTCTTTCATTTCTATTCCTTTCTTTTTTGTAAGAAAAAAAAAATGTTTGTAATATTCATTAAAATATTGCCAAGATTTATCACGAGATTACAGAAATTATCTAATTCATTGACATTTAATTGGGCGTTTCTTCATAAAATACTAAGCATTTATAGCATTATTAGTGATGTACCTACTTAGTTACAGTACAAAAAAACTTTCCCTGAAGATAACTTTCGAACGAAGCTTCTGAATCATTTGGCTTTTACATTATTTATGAACCCGACCACGATGCTCAAACATCTGTTATTTCTGCCCACATCATTAACTAATATAATCTCATGGCTTTGTCTGCTTGCAGATTCAATTATAAAGAATTTTTTTATTTAGTATTTCTCAACACTAAATAAATAAATTTACTAATCAAAATAATCCCTGACCTAATAAGGTTGTGGCTACGAAATCGGAATCAAAGCATGCCGGTATGATAATACTTTATTCTATATTAGCGGATAAAATTTATACTTTACGTGGATACTTTATTCACTACAACCTAAACCTGAATCTGCAAAATCCCTGCATAGAAACATTTTTCATAGAAAATCTTGGAGGACCAATATTTTTGATAGTAAAATGGACCGTGCAAGATTTTATCATAATCGGCTTAGTAGTTGCTCTGGACAGATACATATGCATTCGGAGAGACAAACAAATAGATATTTCTTACATCACGTAACATCACGTGACAATATACTTTCACGTAAGGTATAGATTACCTTCTTTATATTACTGCAAAAGTTAATAATTAATTCTTAATATTTCTGAAGATTACCTAGAGAATTGAGCGGGTAGTGCGACTGGTAAGGCTGTGAGGCGACAGAGCTGATCGGCAGCGACGGGTTGAGATCGGCGGCCAGCTGCGGGAGCGCGCCCGCGCCGAACCCGCCCATGGACACGCCGCCTTGCGACAGCTGGCCTAGACCTGTGTAGCAAAGTCCTGGTTAATAGTTAATAAAAATATGGAAATAAAAATTTTAAGATATAGCGCAACTACAAATAGTATTTGTGCGCCTAAATCGTTACTATTTATTTGTAAAATAAGTATCGAAGATCAACAAATGTATGGACATGATCATTTTCATAGAAATAATTTATGATTATCATAGAGTAGGTATTTTTTATATTAATAATAGCGACTGTGCTATATTAGATTTATAAACGATAAGTATCATAAGATTTTATTTGTTTGTAAAAGGAAGATGTGCTATATTGAAGTTATACTTAATCTGTGCTCGGTGGCGCCAAGACATTTGTCATGCGATGGTGGGAACCAATGAGAATGAAGAGACTAGGTTAGACTTAGGCGTGGCACTTGGGATTAAATAATATATAATAAGTAACAGTTGCAAGTAAAGAATTAAAGCCTTAAAAATTATTAATGGTGTTTTCTTAAATCACACAGCGACTCACCCTCGCTTCTCTCGGGCTTATCCCTATTGGTACGTTTTGACGGTTAGTATGGAATAGGTAGACTATATATTAGCATGTTATATATAAATAGGTATGATGAGTTTTTTATCCCTTACCTACTTGAGAAATGATTGATTCCCCATACAGACTTTCATATCCCATTTCATCCCATTAAGGGATTATTTCCAGGATAAAAACTATCCAATATTCTTCCCAGGGTCTCAAACTGTTTTTGTACCAAATTTCGTCTAAATCGGTTCAGCGGATTTTTACAATTTATTTCTCTTTATAATTTTAGTATAGATTTAGTATTTAACATTAAGTTCTTGTGCACATACGAGAAATATAAGTATATTGTAGAGACACTTATGACTCTATCTAGGGAATTTATCATAATCCAGACCTGCCGGCATAGACCAGGGTCGATCAGCGAAGACGCCAGGCCCACACACGTCGCCCGCACCGAAGGGCGGCAGGCCGTGTGAAGGCAGCAGTGCTCCGGGCGATCTGAACACGTTCGTGCTCTTCTTACGTTTCTTCCACTTTGCACGCCGGTTCTGGAACCATACCTGGAATATAGGTTCGCATGTTAATCGTTTGAAAATTACAGATAATTAACTTCTCATTTGAGTAATAATAATAATTCATATACTTTTAAAAAATTACATAATATATAGACAAGATACGTTTTATTTTTTTCTGCGGAACCCTAATTCTTTTTCTAAAATAAAAGTAGCCTATGTTACTTCTTATAACGTCAGCTATCTTCCAGTGAAAGTCTCGTTAAAATCAGTCCAGCCGTTTCAGAGATCATCTGGAATGAACAGGCAGACAGACAGACAGATAAAAAAATGTGTTTTTCTTATAAGTACCTACCGTAAATAATTTCATATGCATTTAGTAAAACGCAGGTATTTTTTATTAGACATTACAAACAGACACTTCAATTTTATTTATATGTATAGATACGTAAACTTACATAATTTTGAATAAATCCTCAAATTATAAATTAACACTAAATCAGGTAAATTATGTACATTTAAATTAGATCGGATAATTAATTTAGAACCTAACTGAACTAGGTTAAAAATCTGTGTTTCAAGCTATAAGTTCCTAATAATAATAACTGTGTATGATGAAGATAAATCGCTTAGACTAGAGCAAAGAATTCTTGTAACATACTGAAAGATGAAAATCACAAAATATAGTGAGTTTTATTTTTGTAGTAATTCATAGCGTATCTTACATATAAAAAAATAAATAAAAAAAAAAAAATAAAAAATAGTTTTTATTGCTTAATCATTTATAACATTTTTTGTGTTCGAGTCTTCCCAGTAAGTAATCCGGAGGATACTTGTGTTGGGAAATATATAATAAAATTCTAACTAAGTCGAATCTGTACATTAAATATTTTTTGGAAAATCTTATTGAAATAAACACTAGTATCGATATAGAGGCCGAATCTATAGTTTTTAGATTTTTTGTCTGTCTGTCTGTCTGTTACCGCATCACAGAAAAACCACTGGAGGGATTTTGATAATATGGTGATAGCTGGTTATTCGGATCAACATATAGGATACTTTTTACCGCGGGAAAATATCTCATTTCTGAGAAAAAATATAAAAACTGCAATGTATGTGTCTGTAGTGTATGTATAAATGCACACTAATATGTAAAACCTAAGAATTTGGTTTTTGGCGATCTGAACGCGGGCGGAATGCCTAGGTAATAAATAAATTTCTAGAATCAATTCAGTAGTTACCTTTACACAAATATACAAACAAAACGTAATATAATATTTAACAAAATGGAACCAAACAAATTAATTATTGGTAAATTAATTAACAAAGCAATTACAAACCGTATTATTTATATTCTCTTTACGAGTTGCGTCCCTATGATGCTTTAGAATAATATTAATAGATTTATTTAATTAATTTACACTTTTATTTCATTTTTAATAATGTTACTTCGATTATTTGCATTAGAGACTAGAGACGTAGCCTTGCTTTACTCGGGTGTCGTGTCACTGTCTATTTATTATAGTATAGAATATATATTATAGTCTATCCGTATACCAAATTTCATCCAAATCCATTTAGCCATTTCAACGTGAAAGCGTAACAAACATACACACACATATCTTACACATTTATATTATTACTAGCAGAACCCGCTTACAGAAAAACTAAAAAAGTAGGTTTCATACAAACTTTCATCCACTATTTACCTCCTTATGGGATGAATTTCTAAAAATGCTAAAACACGTATTTATTTAATTGTATTGAAGAGTAATATTAATACCAAGTTTCACGTAATTCTGATCATAAATAATTTTTGGGTTGTATTATAACGTATTTTCCCGTGGGAATGAGATTACCTTCCGCGATAAAAAGTAGTCTATAGTCTATGACACTCTTCAGCGTTCCAACTATCTCCACACAAAAAACCACATCAATCTGTCACTCCGTTTAGGGGTGAAAGAAAGACAAATAAACAAACAAACACACTATCACATTTATAATATCAGTATAGATTTATACAATAAGGCAATTTACATTAGACTAATATTAGTCTAATATAAATTACCTTATTGTAGTATAACTAAAACTTAATTACTAATTACAACAATTTTTAAACCAATAAAGCTTGAACCTTCCAAAGAGATCATAAACCCCATCTTCCCACTATTAAGCAGGATCGCTCGAATCACACCGCGATCACTAAAGCTCGTACGTTACCGAAGTATCAATATATGGCATTGATCCCGATAAGCTTCTGGTAATAGTGCTTTATTATTTTCAAACACTGTTATGTAATAAATATTATGTAATACATATATGTGTAAAACCATATATGTAAACATATATGTATCTATCTGTTTGTTACGTTCTAAAATATTATATGACTACAGATGCACCATCGCTTCGCTCGAGTTCCTCCCTAAGTAATGTTCCGTCCCTATGTCGCCCTTTATTTTAGTATCAAAGCCCATGCCCAGCCTATGATTAAAGAAATGGTGTTAAAATTCTCATCTTCCTAAAACACCTGCCCTAAAATGCCAGCCACATTTCGGACTAATAGTATGGTCGTATAGGCTTAAGACATGACTATATACCAACTGCCACCCAGAAAATATACATATAAATCGTAAAAACTGTATGAGTTTTATTATTTTTTATTGGAATAATATATTATTCGATAGTAAAAAGTTACTTTTTAATTTACCAGGCCTTCGATACTTTCATACAAAAAGATCACACTCATCTGTCTCTCCATTTCGACGTGAAGGAAGTTCACGTTTATAATATTAACAAATAGTATATATTAATAATAGTATTTTGTTTTTATTTCTATAATTTCATATGTAAAATATATTCGTGCTGAACTCAGGAGCTATTAAAACTAAAACGCCACCTAGAAGTGATAAGAAAGCCTGTAATGAGTACTGAACAGCTGGCAATCACATGCATCATGAAATGAATCCAAATTTATTCCAAAAATAAATTTTACATAGGATTCAATATAAAATTGAGAAATTTTATATTAAACAACATTATATATCGTTTACAACAACTTATAATCTTTTCAGCGAAACTCCAATCGAACTTTAAAGCGTACAAATTTAAAATAGAAAAGGAAAATAAAAAACTTAAAAAGCAAAACACTGTATACGACAATCACATTAAAAATGCACCGCAGCGACGGTGAAAAGAGAGAAAAAATCTGTAGCAAATTTGTGCAAAAGAGATGGCAATACTCATTACATATTTTTCAGTAAGCGTGAAAAAGATAGCGATATATAATAGGTTAGTGTAAGAGGGAAGGCTGCCCTCATTCGGCGTGTCAGGACCAAGCTCTATTATTTATGGTCCGTCGCGAAGGTTTTATTTGTACGCAATAGGAATTTTTCCTCTTGATTTTTTTTTGTTGTCTATGTGACAGAGACAAAGCTCGTTTTATGCTTTATTTATGATGAAAATGAAAGTTCATTTTAAGTTTTTACTAAGACTGCACTATATTCGTACGAGTATGTAGTAAATAAACAAATCTATTATATAAAATAATTCTGCTTATAGTGAGCTTAAATTTTTTCTTAAATTAAAAAATACAAAAGAATGAAGTACGGGAGGTACCAAGATTAAATTGCAAAACAAGTTGTTAGTAATAAAATTTAGACACTCACCATCATGATTTTTATTCCTATCAATCCACATTTTTATCCACTACTATCTAAAATTCTTTGAGAGAAAAGTTGGGCGTCTCGTCAAAACGAAATTGAAATTTCAGCTTAAGATTTAGAAAAATGGACGGCGTACTGTAGACTATTAATTATATCACATAAAATAATATGTTTTGAATTAAATAATTTATTAATAATTCAACTAATATGCCATTACTATTATATTTTTTTTCGAAAGTAATTTCTCGAATCTACACTATTTAAAAAAAAACAAAATTGTATATGACAGTATAAAAAAAACATAAAAAAAGGAATTACATAAAAAGTAATTAAATATTATATCTACTAACAATAAACCAGTTTTTAATTAATTTTCTAAATATTATGATTTGATATATATATTTTCATTTTGATCTTTATCATTCATCACAATATCCCAAACGTGGCCTCCCCTGGGCGGGATAAGCTTTTCCAAACAGTCGAATCAATAAACAAATTCAGAAAGTAATCCGGTATCATTTATCACAGACGATGTATAGAAGAAGATATTCTATTTAATTTTAATAAAATATTAATATTTAAATATGTCAACATCGTTTTTGCGAATACCAAGGTTATGTATGATGGATGGCAACTTTGTTAAAGAAATGTGGGAGGTAACCTCACGACAGTCATTTAAGATTAATACTTTCTTAGATTGACGCGAATATTTGACATTTTAAATAAAACTGTCTTTTTGAATTTTTTCGCGGATTTATTTTGATTTTTAGGTTCCGGAAGTTACAACTATAACAACTATATAATGCCTTTGAGACATCTAAAACCTTAGTCTCTCCCGTGACCATGATTGCTGTAAAGCATTCGAAACGTCGGGAACCAAAAATCTAAATTAATTCGCGAAAAAAATTCGAAAAGATAGTTTTATTTAAAATTGAAGATAAATTTACGGAACACTAGACTTTTTATATGTTTAGTAGTTCATATTGGATTACTAATTACAAATAAAAATGTTTATATATGTGTTTATTGTGTATGTTTATTACTGCTTCAGTCTGAAGCCAGATTTGAGTGACATTAGCACACAGAAGGACTAAGAGCTGAAGTAGCACATAGTATATTAGTATATAGGCATAGGAACCTAGAGACGCACCCGAGAGAAACAAAAGTAAGTCACTAGTTGAAAATAACAATTTATATTTTCGGGATAACCCGATCCAAGTTCATGAAAATCTAAGCAATCAAATCCCGCCAATCCCGAGGGCACGCCCAGCTTATCCCGAAATCAATAAGTCATGCCGCCCGATTTGTACCTAATCCCGAATCATTTGTCACTGCCGCTGCTTTATATCACTGCGGTAGAGCTGCGAGATCTCTGCGACTCCTTGAATTGTCTCTACATTTATAGAAAATGTATAATTAAAATATTGTTTTCATTTATTTTAATAAGCATAGACTCATGATCGACTTTTACTTTAAAAAAATTGAAGTAATCTTTTGAATGTTTCTTTTTGGGAAATGAAATGATTTTGTAGTAAATAGCATACCTCAATATCGCCATTGTGATCGCCTGAGGACTAATTCAAAATAAAAAAAATAAAAAAATACAGTCGAATTGAGAACCTCCTCCTTATTGAAGTTGGTTGATTACATAAAATTTGTAAAATTTTACTTAATATTAGATGTTAAAGTAAAATCCGGCTAATTATTTTAGCTTTACAGTAACTAAAAATATAATTTAGGTATGTACTGAAAAGATTCGTTTAATTTGATATTTAATTCTCAACAAGTACAATTTACAAAATTAATAAATTATTTTTTCAATAAAACATTTCATTTTTATACATATTTGTGCTAGAAAACAACTATTAAAGTACAAAATATAATAAAAACATATTTCCAAACGACCGACTTATTAATATTTTACGGCACATTAATAAATAAAGCAAAGAAAAAACTTAAATAACAAGTAGATATGTATATAAAAATTGTTATAAATTTAATCACTCTTATAAGACTGCACAAACTTTTATTTAACTAAGTATAAAGATAGCAATTTGAACCCTAAAATGTGCGAATTCTTAGGGACTTAGCGAAATTGTCAAAGTTTTCTCATCCTTGGTCTCGAAATCCACGGCGATGTCATAATGGCTCCCAGAATTTTCTATTTACGTGCCGTAATGAATACTGCGAATACTTTAAGTTCTGGACTTTACCAGACTTAGGAATACGAGACATTCGTATTTATGTCGGTTTTGTTACTTCTGTAAGAACGTTTCGAGTTAAGAGAATTGTTAGTAGGTGGGAGAATTTTTCAATAAAAATTCTTTATTTCTTAATGACATAGCACAGTTGCTATATTAAAAATATGATTTAAACTTACAATATTTATTGGAATTTTCAGTTTTTAGAAACTAGTCTTGGGCTAGTACAATAAGTTAAACTGAGCGTACCTATAGACCACAAGCCACTTACCGTCGCTTCGCTTGTGTACGTCCGTAGGTGCTTTGTATTTATAATATGCCTGTATCTTCTATACATATAATAAAATTGTAACTAAGCCTAATCTGTACAATAAATATTTTTTGAAAAATCTTATTAAAATAAACATTATTATCTATACAGAGGCCGAATCTATAGTTTTTAGAATTTTTGTTTGTATGTCTGTCTGTCTGTTACCGCATCACAGAAAAACCACTAGAGGAATTTTGATGAAATTTGGTATGATGATAGCTGGTTATCCGGGTCAACATATAGGATACTTTTTACCGCGGGAAAATGTCTCATTTCTGAGAAAAAATACAAAAACTGCAATGTAAGAATATATGTAAAACCTAAGAATTCGGTTTTTGGTCATCTAAACGCGGGTGGAGCCGCGGGCAATGCTAGTTTGCTTATATAATTAAGGTCAGCGGCACATATTGGTAACTTTTATTGTTAGTAATAACTAAAGAAATGATAGCTCATGTTTTCTCATTACTCCAGTAGTTTACCTACTCGTAAGTTCATCTGTGAACCTAAAAAAAGACGTACAAATACACACAGATAATGTAATAATTTGTTATTAAAATTTAATAAGTAGTTTTAGTTCTTGGTAAGTTTATGGATAAAATAAGCAACCAGCAGATAATGTCTATTTCGAAATTCATTCAAACCCATTGAATCATTAGAAGAAGTCGCTAACTTTCACGTACATATTCATATTTTGTATTCAGCCCTTTTTAACGTCACACTGCTGGGCACGGGCCTCCCTTCAGTACAAGGGGGATCAAGCTATAGTCCACCACGCTGACCAAGTGCGGGTTGGCGGATACACGTATCTTTCGAAAACTCGCTAGATTCTCTCAGACATGCGGATTTTCTCACGATGTTGATGTAGGTGGTAATCATGTTAGAAATGATTCACTCATGAAAATATCAGAGGTGCCAGACCGGGGATTTGAACCCGCTTCACTCGGTTTCCCAAGCGAGTGCGTTACCACTGGGCTACCACTGCCTTGTATTGCCATATTCATACATACATATATATATATATATATATATATATATATATATATATATATATATATATATATAATAGCATTAGTAGAAACTGGCAAGGTGTTGGAGTGGTAACTCTAAATTGGCAAAGTTCAAAGTACAAATATTGCTATTAAATATTCACAATCGTTTACTCAGTCACCAGTGAACGGAAACGCGATGCTGAAAATCGAAAATGACATTCATAGCAGAGTGCTTACCAAAATAAGTTATATGAATAGCAATCAAAAAGAGCACATTGAATATCATATATTATTAACTAGTATAGCATATTAGATATTATATTTGACTTGTATATATATAGCGATACAAAAGACTATTTTTCTAACTTTATTTACTGGCATCATCATGTGTATGTATGTATTCAGCCCTTTTTAACGTCCCACTGCTGGGGGTGGGCCTTCCTTCAATACGAGGGGGATCAGGCCATAATCCACCACGCTGGCCAAATGCGGGTTGGCGGACTTCACATGTCTTTCGAAAACTTGCTAAGTTCTCTAACATATGCAGGTTTCCTCACAATGTTTTACTTCACCGTTAAGACAAGTGGTAATCATGT